ATTCTGGTGTTTCTATATGAGGACGTGTTGCAAATCTTTTGGCGTCAGGTTCCAACACACATGGCAGTCTCTTGCATCATACAGGACTTTCACCAAGGAGACCCACTGTTTGTGGGTGCTGTTTGTTTCCGTTGTTTTTAGTAATGTTACATAACTTAAGTAAGTAGCGTAAGTAGTAATAGTTCTTTTGATCCAATGCATGATCTTTTCCTAAACCTAAACAAGTAATCTTTATGCCCAAACCTAACCAAAGTGCGATATTTCACAATGTTAACCACTAGTTTTGATTTTGGAGTTTGCATATTTATTATTGATAACTTGGCCGGGAGTCCTACACATACCAAAACAATGCTACCCAGGGCACTAAACAACAACGCCAAGGGGTCTTGACAAAGCATAGATATGAGACGCCCTGGGATGAGAACAGGTTGTGAATATCTGGCTCTTTAGCTGTTAAATGCTTCACTATGTTCACAAGCTGTGTCTGTCTGCTGCTGAGCAGGTCGTGTACAGTGAGGAAAACAGCTGCCTGCCAAGAGACCAGACAGGAAATGTACCAGGAAACCAAAACTAGGAGCTAAAAGAGGCTAAAAAGCCCCATCTGACAGCCCACCCTGACTGGGAAACAGACCCTCCATTATCTAATTGTCAGATAATCCCAGATTAAAGGTTTTGGGTGTTTGTGAACCGTTTTAACACATTCTGAACAACTGTTTAATTAGTTCATGCAGATCCACAGCTGTGTTCTGGGCTTTAAAGGGGGTTTTCAGGATTTTGAGGCTTTTGTGGACACACGGCTGCTCTTTGTAAAGATCTCTTCTCTTTGTACAGATTTACCGAGTTTGTGATATCTTTGCAGAACACTATAAAATCTATAATCATATCACTGTACTGAGCCTTGCTGAGACTTGCACCAAATAATGTTTGTGTAATCACATCTCCTCTGATGAGTTTATGTGAACTTTGCTGTGTGTTTTCCTCACGCTCAGTTTATGTTGTTCAGGTGAGAGCGATGACATCCATCACCTGAAAACGAATCTGGCTCCTATAATCATCTCATTAGGATGAACCTCCAGGTCATCTTGTTTTATTAGATTTGGAAACATCCTGATATAATTCAGCTGTTACATCATACGCTATTATACACAGACTGTGGTGGGTCATCAGGCGAAATAACAAATGCATTTTATCTTTGCTGTATTCGTTAACCTGTTTATCCTCTTTGTTCATGCTGCCTCATGGACAAAGGCAACAAAGAGGGAAATACGACATTAAAGGGTAACTTCTGTGTTTTCCGACCTGGTTTTTGTGCCTTTGTGACTAATTGGAACATGTTATTTTTTTTTATTGGTCCAGTATTGTGCGAGGGCGCTGCAGTCGCTTTTACAGGCTCAGAGTGTTATTGTAAGTGTCTGGCAACATCGTGGAAAGGATCTCCACAGAGACAGACCTTTTTTTAAAGAGTAAGATCCTTTTTGTTCAACCAGTAACAGTCACTTTAGCGCTATCATCAAAGCCATTGTGCCCCTCTGGTCTACCGCTGCTTAGTTTGTGTTATTCTGTGACTTTGGTATTTGTAACCCTTTAAAACACCAAAGACGCACAATAACACAAACAAACAAAACTCAATGAAGCTGACTTACAAGAACTTGCAGAGCTGTGTTCATCTGGTTCACGCTGGTTTCATTTTTGAGGCACTTTTTCTGTTGCTTTTTCTCATGCCAGTCTATTTTCTGGTTTAATCGTAACACCTGTTTGAATCGCTGAATTAATTACAGACGTGGGTTGGGATTCAGAGGTGTGAAACTAGACTAAGAAGTAAGTAACGTGCATTTTCCCCTTTTCCTAGTAAACACCCTGATATATACTCTGCAGTTTCAATAAGTCAAAATATTTAGTCAGTTGCTGCCTTTAACAACTACCCACATGAGCATTTCCTCATCGTCTATAACAGAAGCAGGATGACATAGTTCGTCAGTGACTCCCAAACTATGACAAAAACACACAGATACTAATTTACTAATCTGAGTTTTGAACTGACACCTCTATAGTTCAGTTTAGGTCAGGTTTAAGACCAGGTTATGGTTAAACTTAACTTGTCTAAGGTTCAAAGAAACCAGTAATTCATGACCCCAACCATCTTTCCAAGAGGTTTATTGGTGCTGTAACAACGTCACACTACATACTACTAAAAGTCATTATTTGCACGACCACAAAACAACAAATGCAGGTAGTTCTATGAGTCCAAACAAACAACCAATTGCGTCAATTTCTGGTGAGCACAGTATCTCCAAATTTCCAGTGAAACAGATGTGTCATATGAAACAACTGGAATCCTGCACCCAGTTTATCTGATGTAACGTGGCATAATGACACACTGGACAGGACTTCCTAATGTGAGTGTTTTACAGTTTGTGTGACAAACAATTTCTCCCTGAGGCACCGGGGGCAACTCCTGTGTGACACACATCAGACCTGGAATAAAGACAAATTATAATCTGCTCCTGAGCCTTTCTGCACCGCTGATCAATGAACTGCAAGAAGCAACAAGCACTGCCAGCAGGTCTGAAAGGTACATTTTAAATATCCACATTTGCTCATTAGATATATTCACTTATTTACATGCCAGTGATGTCAGACCTTAAAATACCCAGAAGGAAAATATCATCCAAAGCCTAAAAACGACATTTTCTGGCACAGAATGAATCTGTTTCTATTTAGATTTTAGCTTCTGTCGAACTAGAGGATAAACCAAACTGTGTGGGAGAGATAAAACTCCGCCAGGGTTTCTAAAACACATCTGAAAAAAAGACAAAACATCCGAGTGAGTAAGAGAATCTGACCACTCACCCGAGACAGAATCTAACAAATAATTAAAGCTAAGTAAAAATCTACTTTTTACTGCCAGGCATGACCGAGGTTCATTCATAGAGTTTGTCCCTTGAGTCAAGACAACCATGTTATTGTATAAATGTCTACATACATCTAACCACAAATATTCCTCTACTGTAGTATTAATATATAGAAGTTATTTTTAATAATAGTATGTGAACCACAAGAAACTCTGCTGCTCTCATTCCAGTACATTACTGATACATATAACGCCTGCAACTAATGATTATATTAAAGTTAAATGAGCTTTATTAATTTAATTTACTGTAACACTAATTCATGTCTTTTAATTTGACAGTCATGAATGTCTTTAGTTTGTAATGCTAATTCACTGAGCAAATGTGTTAAGATGATATGACGATGATTTGTTATCCTGTATTGCATCTTATTAATTTCTTCTCCACCTTTAACCGCAGCCCCAGCAGGAGCTTTCTACACTGGAGAGAGGGCTCAGCGCACTGTAATTTATGGAAACACACTAATAAGATACAGAAAACAGTTTCACCACTTTGACAATGCATATGTCAGATCAAACTCAAGTCATTCACCAATTTCACACCATAAAGAAACACACACGAGGCCTCAGCATTCCCAGTTAATCTTTCAAAGTTAAGGTAATTTTAGTACAATACGAGGGAACTTTGTACTAAAGTTGCTCTAATTTAGAAGAAACCCACGTGATTTGACTAACACACACAGGTGAAGGCTCATATAAAATACAGAAAACGCAAAGTAAATGTACAGAAATAGCCCAAGTCATGCAGAACAGTGAAGCTAAGTTACAATACACACAAAAGAGGTTTCTGGGGAACTTGCTGATCATTTATGAAATGCTAAGGCTAGTAAGTGTATAGCTAATATCTCAAATAATATCACAATCAGAATGTCAAAGCTGAGTTCAGCAGCTTAAGTGGTTGTGGTTTTCATCAGTTTCAATGGGAAACATGTGTGCATCACGAGAAGAAATACACACTGCACACACAATAACGGAAGAGTTTATCCTCAACAAAAGGAACCCGGCTGTAGAAGTCTGGACAGCTATATGGGCCAAATCCCATGAACTTTTTTTGTGGGTGTTCCTGCTCCCCAACGGAGACGTACTAAAGATGTTCCTGACCTGACCTTTCCTCTGGTGCCACCAGCAGGACAAATTTCCTCTCATCCCGTTCTCACTCCCAAGTCTTCACATGTGGACGCATGGTCAAGACCTGTTGGCGTCAGTTTGTCACGCATGGGGGAAGCCCTGTGAGTCCTTTTTGAATGCTAAGAGCAGGTGTAGGATATTTAACAGAAAAGTCACAGTAAGGAGGAGGTACGCCAAAAACTGGACTTTCAACAATAAGACTTGTGTTTGTTTCCTGTGTGAAAGGTCAACATTCAATGTTTTGATAGGAGTTACGCAAGTAATGTAACATTACTTACGTAAGTTAAGTCACGTAGGTAACGTACATATGTTAACCCAACCATGATGTTTTCCTAAACCTAGTAACCTAAGTTTTTCTGGGTGCCTAAACCTTTTCACAACGTTAACCACTACATTTATTTATATATGAGTCTAATTAGACATTTGATATTTATTAATGGTAAACGTGACCGTGGAGCCCTTCGAGCCCTAAAGCAACGCTGAAGTGGTACCCAGGGCATTAAAAAAACGATTTGGAAGTGAAAATGTGTTGTTCCACTTGGGCTTCAGAAAATATCACAATCCACCATCACGATCTTCATTTAAAGTCGTGATCACTTCCACCTGCTCCTCGGAGGATGAACCCTTTAGATGTTATTGACCACGTGACCTTTCCTCTAGCGCCCTCCTCAGGACAAACCTACATTTTCACTACTGGAAAGACTTAAGAACAGTTCGATCATCAGGATGTTCCGCCTCCAGGTGTCCATAGCAGGACTTTACCCTGTTTGCATTTTTAGTTAATGAAGGATTTTTGGATTAATCAGTTATTGAAATTGACATTGGTTAATCTTCTGCTGATCTATGAAATCTTTAGACTATAGAAGTATTTTACTGTGGTTTAAAGTCCTTTACTGGGTTTAATATAGCTTATTATTGTCCCTGTGATAATATTCATTAGATCCAGGTGTTGCAGCAGTCTTACCTGATGATGTCATCGTTGTGTCCCAGGTAAAACCTCTGGCTGTGCTCTCTGGTGTTGTAAACCACGCCGACCCCTGCCACGAAGTACACCACCTCCTTGCCGGCGGTGTAGTACAGATTATTCCGGCACTGGTGGCCCCGGTATCCGTAGACCCAGTCCAGTCTGAGCCGGCAGCCCGGGGCGCTCCGGTCCGACATGTTCACTCATCTGACGGGACACCGTGTCTGCCGCCGCCGCCGCCGCCGCGCGTTCACTCCTGCCGCCGCCGCCGCCGCGCGTTCACTCCTGCCGCTTCCTCCAGACCAGAACAGCAGATTTGTTAACAGCCGATATTTATGGACTGGGTTTTGGTAATTTATATACTAATAACCTGATTGATGCTTCCGTTCTCGTGGGGCTCAGCCTTGGTAGAAAACAAGGTGATTGTTCAGTTTTGTCTGTTTAAGTCTTAGACATAAACTTTTCTTCGATTCTTCAGTTCATTCTTAATTTGCTTGTTGCTCACTCACTGTCCACAAAGGACAAAATCAAAGAAGTTACACAAGTGGACCAGATATATAGGCCTATATAATGCAGCCTAAATCAGCCTAATTCTGAATTATCACCAGTTTTATTCACACAAAGTACAAGGAGGCTCTGATATAAAGTTCTTCCCTTATAGTTCATCCGATAGGCCTACTCAATAATCACTTTATAATCACCTATATTCCTGTAGTGTCCTTTTTAATTCTGTATTATTCATATAACAACCGTGAAATAAAATTAGTTCAATATGAATTTTTTTATGATTATTGGCTCCTCACAATGTGTCTGTTACGGTAAACAGCGACTTTACTACAGAAACATACAAGTCTTGTGTGTATCTGGTATTTCTGTTATTTCAGTACTTATATCTAATCATGTCTCTATTATCTCCATAGTTTCCACTTTAAAATAAACTTCTCATCTCCTCAACATGTAAATTAGACGGCAGCTTCCACATGAGCTCAGACTAACGGGCGCGTCAGATCATCATGACTCTTCATCCTCAGGGCGGAGAGTTTCTCCAGCCTTGATATTTTTTAATCTCCTGTGGGTTGAGTGTATATATTCCCAGAGGGACTAACAGTGTTTTTACTCTATAGTGACCTGCATGACCTGTGTAAGGCTATTTAATAACGAACATATTTTTTTTTATTTGTGATGGGGTTACTTTAGTCAGTTTTATTTTACCTACAGACACAGTGGAGATGATTTTCTTTTGCTTCCCCAAACGATATAGAACAGTGAAGAAACAAATAGAAAAAATATCCTAACGCGTCTGGAAAGTTCTCGCCGTGTCCAAAAAAGATTAAAACCCCAGAGACAAAAAAACAAACAAATGAACACACATCTGATGGAGGGATTCGGCTCCTGGAAAATATAATCCCTCCTCACACTAATCCTCGACCTCGGTACCAGACATGGTTACTACAGCACGGGTGTTTTTCCTCCTGTATCCCCTCCGTGTTCACACCATCCCTGCGCGGAATAACGCAGGTGCAGCAGGTGCCTCTGGAGGAAAACGTGCTGCGGCTCACAAACCCATTCACAAATCTGTGCGTGAGTAAAATCCACCAGAGTCAGGAGGGCAGGGTGTATAATAATCCAGAATCTCAAATTTAAAGAAGCGGATTATTTCCACTGTCAAACGATCGGGCAGTTCCGGAGAGAGGCGGAGAGAAAGAGGAGGAGAGAGCGACAAAAACAAGTGTTTAATCCCCGCAGATGATCCAACTTCAGCGGGCAGAGGAGGGGAGAAACCCCGGGTTCAGACCGCAGCATCCTGCCGGATGACGGGAGAGGGAAAGTCCTGATTCTCGGCAGGAGAAGAGCATCCTCCCGCTGCAGCCGAGTCCCTCCACCCAAAGACAGACTGACAGACAGGTGAGCAGACAGACTGACTCAGCTGATCAGTAAACCGGACTTTAGACGCCTAATAGAGACCCTCCGCGACGGCAGAGTCTCATCACAGTGATGTTTTCTCGCTGGTTTTCGGGCTGGCAAGCAGAAGAATCAAGGAAACACAGAGCAGATCATTAGATAACGTTTCCGGTGTGCAATCTTAAAAATAAAAGCCCTTTGAGCCAGGAGACAGCATTGTAGCGCTGCGAGGAATAGACTAACGTTCTCATTGGACGATCCTGCAGCTATTCAATTTAATGTTTGCGTTTTGGACTTTTGGAGGAATCATCTTTGGTGGTGGGGAATTGTTTGTTTTATAGCAACAAATAATTGGGAAAAAATGATAATATCGATAATTGCTGCCCTTTCAAAGGAATCTAAGAAAAAGGAAAGTAACAGAGACACATGTCAAGTGATTTTCAAAGTTTATTAACAAATAATTTAACTTTAAAGAAAACAAACACAAATATATGGAACAATGAGGCAGAAACAGAAGAGAACTGACCATTAGGGATGGCATATGAAATTAGCAGTATAAAAGCTGTGATGCATTGCTCTGGAAAATTGTTGTACAATTATAAAATTTGTTTAAATAAACATAAAATAAAATATAAATAAATAATTTATAACAATCTGTGAACCTGGAGCTGCTGTAAAAAGCGGCGTGAGTGCCATTGGTGGAAAGTAACCTACTGTTCTTAGGCCTAAGTACAATTTTGTGGTATATTTGAGGTCACAAATCCTATTTTGAAAGACACATCTCTACACTTCCGGTCTTATTGTGGCGAATTGTCACGCGCTTTTCTCTGGCGCTAACCATGACGCACGGAGAGAAAACACCCCGGCTCCGCTGGAGAGGACGCACGGCCCCAAAAGGATTGTGGGACTTTGTGTTTTTTTTCCCTGTTCATCGTCATTCATGTGTTTTTATCAATGAGGAAGTAAGAGACGAATAAAATACCAGCAGCAGCGATGCAGGAGCTGTCCGAGGTGCTGAAGAGAGGAGCGGATCTGAATGGGGAAACTAGGAGAGAAAGTTACAGCTGGATTTATTTAAAACGTTTTATTACAAGTAAATTAATTGTGTAACATTTACACAAAAATATAATAAATAAAACAAGAAAATATAATGATTTCAAAAGACGACAATAAAAGGAGCATAAAAACTAAAAGGAAATTTACTTTCAAAACTCTTTTCTGATGAATTAAAGCAACATAATGTGTTTTTATCAGCAGCAAGAGAGAATAAAGTGTTTGTGACTGCAGACGAATGAGTCATTCAAAACCCTTTTCTGATATCTTGATGAACTTTGATCACAGAAGTGACAGTTTGAACATGTTCATGCATTTATCATCACTCAATCCGTCCTCAATTTTGGACACATTTCAAAACGTTCATCTCCAGAATCTAAACTGGCTTTTGGTAGCTTTTGAACAATCCTTTGGAAGTTTTTGAAGTTAACTAACATTGCAAATTTATGAAGGTTAGTGACAGAGTTGCTGATTGGCAGCAGTGAAGAAACATTGAAAAGTGACGTTTCTGAGACCTTCTGGTGATTTCTGATCATTTGTTGATGTTTTGACTGCAGTGATGCTAAATGTTTGAATACCAGCTTATAAATCTGTCCCATTTTTTATCAATGAAAACCCTCCCACTGACTTTGATGCTCTGCTGACCATAGATCACATCCTTTCAGAAAGAAATCTGCAGACAATTAAAAGGTATAAACTTTTTCCAAGTGTAATAATTCTAAATAACTACAACCACCTGTCTTCCTTCTGCTATTTTAATGCTGCTCAGTTCAGTGTTTTGGTCTAAACTGCATTTCGTTGTATTTAGTATACAATGACAGTAGAGTCTCTATCATGATTCCTTAAATCTGTTTTTGAGAATCAAACACTTAATTTCCTGCATTGTGGTGATTTTTTCTGCACCAATTTCTGTCTTTCCTGGATCAATTTTTGGTGGAAATGTTTTTATTTATGCAAAGGTAACACAAAATTCAGGTGGCAGGTGACAATTCAAAATCTAAAAACAACAGAGCTGAAGTCAGGGCAGCTCTCAGTCCTTCTGTGTCGCTTTCAGATCTGGAACGGATTTGAAGTAGAAGCAGCAGCGTGAAAGTTACGGCTGCAGAACGGAGCTTAATTTATTATTGCATTTCTCAAGTGAAATGGATTTGACACTCTGAAAGGTGAAAAACAGCTGGATTGCAGACAGTAAAAGTGAGTGGGTCCAATTATATTGGTCTTAAAATACAATGGTTCCGATACACATGTAATGTTAGCTTGTAGACACATCAGCGCTGCATGGGGGGAATTCACTTAGGCCAGACTGAGTTCTTCTGTAGGCTGTGACTTAAATACTACCCAGCTGCTCGTGGAAATGTGTGATAAAGTAATTCCACGTCTAATTCCTCTCTCTATCAGATCAGGTTGCAGGTCCAAAAATGCTATTTGATTACCAATGGATTGGTTCAATCAGAGTGTGATTTTGCTCTGTAGTTTGGCTGCATACAACAAGCGTAAGCTGTTGATAATGATGCTATTAAAAGTGGCTGCAGTCGGAATTTAATAACCTGACGGTGGAAGGAATAATTATTACTACATTTGGAGTAATTATTACTACATGTAGGGATACATGTACAGTATGTATGATTGCTATTTTTTAAATTATATTTTCCTGTGTGTATATCTGTGGGTATATGTTCGTGTATAGCAGTCACCCACACATTTACATTTACACAGAAGCAGTTTCTTCCCACAAGCCATCACTCTGATGAACAGCTGATTTCTGACTCACAGTGTTGGGAACTATTCCTGTGCAATAACCCAGTAACTCTGCCTCTAATCAGTCACCTGTTTACTGGTTTCCACTTATTATTTATTTATTCACCATTCTCTATTTCAGAGCTGTTCATACTATGTCATATTGTATATACTGTATACCAATACACCTACCTCAGGTCATAAGGTAGTCGCTTTTATCCAAAGCGACTTACAATTGCTTTATAATATAAATATAATAAATAAATAATTTAGTTTAGTTTTTCGCTCGGCAGATCAGCAATGAAAAGCAGCCTCCCTCAAAGTCCTAGTGACCTCAGAAGGGATTTAAATTATGAATTAGTGGAAACAACCAGAAGGATTATTTTTAGCCAATAAATACAAATTCTATTTGTATTATTCTATAGTATTTATCAATATTCTTGCTTCTCTTAGTTGAGTACATGTCTGCACTGTAAAAAATAAAAAATAAAATCTAAATCTAAAAATTATATTTCTTATTATTATTTTGGGGGGCTTAGGACCATGTTATGGCTTCAGCCCGTCTAAAATGGGCCCAACATGCCCGTGGAGATGAACACATCAGAAAGTGATGAAACAGAGATTGTCACAGGATTCAGGAAAAGCCTGAGCAGTGAGGAGCTGATGATCACATATGGATAGTTATGAGTCTAAACACTGTGGACAGAAGAGAAAACTTTGATCTCTGCAGAAGACGAGTTGAGTTTCATTAAAACAGACCGCCTAGGAATGACTGTGTGGGCTAGTTTGGAGTCTTTTGTTGTTATGTTTACCCCAGATGTAATAATCACACCCAGCAGAGCTGTTTAAAAATCCATAAGACTCACAAAGTGGGTGGATCCACTAAGAAGAGCTCATGAGCAACACAATCAGCTCCAGTCTGACACACAACAAAAACAGAAACCTTATAAACCTTAAGAACCTATATCTACTGTAAAAAGTGCAGACTGTACGCTTTATAAATATATGTACACAGTAAAATATCACCTAAAGCAAACAAAACACAGTTTGTCAGAACCAAAACATAGTGTTTTACCACAGTATACAAACAATGTATTTATGTTTATTGCAGTACAAAATCTCCAAATCTCATCTTTGGCTTCATGATAAATATTCCATGCATCTTCAAAACTGTGGTCATGCCTACTGTAAAGCTAAGTAACACAGGTCATTTACATAACCAACTGAACTTACTTAACTTAATTAATTAACCCACTTATTTCAACCCAAATCGTGCTTTCATAAACCTAGACACATTGTTTTAGTGCCTAAACCTAATCCAAACTGCAAGCTTTTCACAACGTTAACCACATGTTTTTGCAGGTTGTTGCATATTTATAATTGCTAACTTGACAGTATTTATTTATTGTTAAATTGACCTTGTCCAGAAATTATGCTTAGCCAGTTGGCTCATTCAAATGTAACTCTGTATTTGTGTTTATAACAAGTCAATATATAGAGAAGACACATCAACTGGTATTCAGCAGTGTTGGAAGTATAATTATTCAGGTACTGTAATTAAATTCTTCTCCATTGAACTTGTGTATGTCCTTTTACTTCTTCTCAACTGCAGTTCAGAGAGAATTTTTTACTAATGATCCTGTTTAGCCAATATCTTGAAAATATAGTCATCAGATGCCATTAAAATATAAAGTTAGTAAACTACAAACTTAACTACTAGCTCAAGCTTCACCAAATCAATTTGACTTCAGAGTAAACATGAATCTCACACACACACACACACACACACACACACACACACTAATCCACCCTCTGCTCCAATAGGACTTCCCCTCCTGTCTGTCCTCACCTTGACAGCAGCATGAGGGATTTTTATAGTTACACAAACAAACACATCTAATTATAAAAGGTAAAGGCTGTGTTTACCTCTGGGCTCCATGATGACACACACACACACACACACACACACACACACACACACACACACACACGCCTGCAGATGGAAACAGCTGCTGCAGCAAAACAAAAACAGGTCAGGCTGTGCTGCTGCCTGCATGTTGAGGTGAATTGTTTCAGAGATTAGACACAGCCGACACAGGGAGGTAGTGGTATGACTCAAGGGTCATTTATAGATTTCTTCAGGACCTTTCAGCCGCATCACATAGCATTCATCAGTGGATGGATTTGCTCGGTTGTCATCGCCACTGGTGGAATGCAACTTAGAAACAACTAACACGATTCAAAGTGCTTTACATAAGAGCCATAAATTGGATTTTTAGAGTAAAATAAAATAGGAGGAAAAAAATTAGCTATAATAAAGATTACAGTGCAGGTACAGTGCGGTGTAAGAAATTAATAAATAGTCCAACAATTAATTTAACAAAAGGGAATGTTATGTCAGCTCTGCCTAGGTGGAAGAAGTACTCAGACCTTTTACTTCAGTAAAAGTAGTAATACCTCTGAACAAATATGTAAATGCTCCATAATTGCATAGCACATTTCTAGTCTGTTCTACCACTCAAAGCACTTTTACACTGCATCACATTCATACACTGGTGGAACAGCCACCAGGGGCAATTCGGGGTTCAGTATCTTCGACACGTAGCCTGGAGGAGCCGGGGATTGAACCGCCAACCTTCCGATTAACGCTCTATCTCCTGAGCCAAAGTCGCCCCTTTGGCAATTTCAAGATTTACTTAAGTACAGAAGTATTAGCATCAAAATAGACTTAAAATACTAAAAGTACTCATCATGCTGAATGCCCCCTTCGAGAATACTATATATTAAAAAATTTAACTACTTGATTTACTGCCGGTAAGCCCAATCTATACTTGATTTATAATGATTTATTAAGTCATGCCCTCTGTAACACTGGTTTCAAAATGTGCTCTGACTTGATGCACAACTTATGCAGCATCTCAACTATCTGTACTCTACTAGTATAAAGCCGCCATCTTGTGGCCAAAAGGCAAAAACACACTGAACTGTAAACAGCTGATTAAACACTTCTATTAAAAGGCTTCAGTTAAAGACTCAGCAGAGGTGCCAAAACACGGAACAAGAGAGAGTCTACAAACTATAAACAAAAAGCTAAAACCTTGTTCATTTTGACACATTTTTCAAGACTTTCTATGAACTATTTGTCTGTGTTTGCTTCTGTCTTTTACTCCACATGCATTGTGTCCCTTTTTCCAGCAAAACTCAGCTGCAAGTCTCATTTTGTCAATTTAACAAAGTATAAAGCTGCCAGGACCTTAAAATAGAAGAAAAATGACACGCCTACAAAAATGTGCAAATCTGAAGTGACTTGATATAATATTATAGAACAGTTCACCTTAGAAATAAAATCACAAATACAGCAGAAAAAAACCCAACTCGAGGCGTTTTATCCCAACTCGTTTTGGTTCCTAAAGTCTATGTCTGCTTGAAAATCGAATATTCTTTAAACATTTCCCAACATAAATGAGACACAATGTGGAAGCATCACATCAGCACCTCCAGTTAGGTTTCTCAGATCGCTTCTATGTGATCAATAAATAAGTTGTGTTACTGTAAATAAAACATGCTCAGAGAAGGAGAATGTACAGTATAAACATTAGACAAAGACTCTGTACAGTCTCCGTGTTTAATTAAACACTCTCCATGCAGTTTGTAATCCTGACAAATCCCTGCTCCCAGTGTAATCTACTCCACACACACACACACACACACTTTTGGTCATTTAGTTTTAAGAAAAGTTGGGTTTGATGAGGTTAGAAACTCTGTGACGTCTGCAGGGAACAAACGGTTTAGAATCAACAGACTGAAGCCGATTCCCTCGGTGTGATTATCTGGTATCTGTCTGAGATTTCTGTCTCATCTCCAGTGGAGATGGAGGCGGATGGAATTTAGTTTGTTCTGTTCAAAACATTCAACATTTACAGATGCATTTCAAAAAGTTAGAATATCATGGAAAAGTTAATTGTGAGGGCCAGAACCAGACAGAGATGAAAGGTTCAGGAAACCTTTGCATGTGTTTTGAGTTAATCAGCTGATTAGAGATCTTCTCAGGTCGACATTTCTGTAAATTCTTTATTCTAATACATTTTGAGATACTGGAGTTTTGATCTGAAAGGTGTAATCGACAAGATTAAAACAAAACAAAAAGGCTTAAATTATTTCACTTCATGTGTAATGAATCTAGAATATATGAAAGTATAATGAAAGTAAATTACAGAAGAAAATCTAAATAAATTTCCCGCGATATTTACATTTTTTGAGATGCACCTGTTCAGTAGCTCAGCAGACAGTGTGTGGAGACTTGGCTTGGGGACCAGAGGTTTGCCAGTTCAAGTCCAGCATGAACCATTGGACCAAGGCTCTGCACAGTGGCTGCCCACTGCTCCTCATTAGGATGGGTTAAATGCAGAGAACTAATTTTATAGTTTGTGTTGTACTGGGTATAATTTTGTGTGACAAATATAAAGTTGATTCCTCTCTTTCAAAAACTCAATAGTGTTTCTCTCCAAAAACAATGTCTCTAACTCTTGACAGACCTCGCTGTGGACAATTTTTAACTATTTAAAAAATAAATGCTTCGTCACTTCTTTGAGCATCAAACTAAATTCTACTTTGGGAAGCTACTGTCCGGACCATCCTCTAAACTTGACACCTCTGAAATGGGACGGACTTTTTTGACCCGCTATGACAGGTTCAGTCCTGAAATGTGGATTTTGAAGGAGGTTGAGCCTTGCATAGAAAAATTAGACATGAAACTACTTTCTGCTTCCAGTCACGTCCCTCAAGCCTTCCCAGCTGGTGGCAAAGTGGCAAGTGCACATCAGGGACCAGGCCAGACTACAGTATGTGAGTCCAGTCCAGACTGCTCTCCCTCAGTGTCTCTAAATTCCCCAGAAAGACAACTCTTTAATATCAGGTCACTGTGGCCTTTTGTCATTCACAGTGCAGGTGTCCAAAGTGCGTGTCTGCCACTAACTAATCATCCTCATTGCAGATGTGTAGTTTTATGCACAGATGTGTGGAAAGAGATCAGACTCTCACAGTTGTAACTTGTAACATTGAGCAAACACAGTTTCTAACATATTTGTCCCTTTCTTCTCTGGACAGAGATGCTTCTCTACAAAATTACAGCAGGCTTCTGTGGTGAAGTAGATTATTCATAAAGGTGGAAAAAGGGTTTATACCTGCCTTCTTAGCTTTTTAAGCTTGTTCATTAAACTCCTTATGTCTGTGCTTAAAGCTTAAAGTCTGAATGTTTAACTTTCTGCCTGCAAACTCAGTTTTGAAGTTTGCACATCCAGTTTCAGGGTTGCAAGCTTATTTTCACAAGTTGTGAGGCAGAAAAAAAACCAAACATGTGGTGTGAGAGCACGCTCGCTGACTTCTGACGGGTTCGCTACGTGGTCAGATTCTGCAAACAAAGCTTCAAGGAGGGCGAGAAAGCTTCCCTGGAGCTGCTACACACAATACAGCCGAGACCCCAGCCTGCAGACTTCACACACACCAACATCTAAAGGATTACTCTGTGTAAACTCAATGTAGGAGATTAAAGGCTACATTGGCAACTCATGTTACCATAAAGTTAAGAGTTAGCAGTAATAGCTGGATGTGTTCAGTGCTTCTGAGGTGGCGTTTAGGATGTCGGCGTCTTCACAAGAGGTCAACCGCTATTATTTGAAATACCAGCAAGAGATGCGTTTGGCTTGACAAACTAGCTTTTAAGGTTGTTAATAATCATTATGAACACACACACACACACACACACGAGAAAACAAACAAAGTCTGTTTGGTTCATTTTAAAAGCATTTTAATGGCTTTTTGCACATATGTAACAGAGATGGGGAGAAGTCTACGGGTGCAGATCCAACTAGCAGTGACCCCTGGTCCACATCACACTGACTACCTCACCTAAGAACCTTGGCCCCGCCCACCCCCATCGTGGCATTATTGATTGTGCAATATGAAGAAATATCTCAGTACTATGGTTACAGTGACAGGAATGCACACTATATTTATCAAACTGCCAGAGAATGTAGCAAAAAGAAAAGAAAAAAAAGAAGAAGAAACAAAACAGGAACCATTTCAGGACCAATCACCAGGTGAAAAGTTATTCAGTTACTTGAGAGAGCCAGAGCCCGACCCAACCAACCCCACCACCAAGTGGGGGGAAACAAACACACCCACCTGTTCCACTTTGGGATTTCCTGGCAAGTTAATTAATGACAAAAGTACAAGTGAGCTCAAAAAACAATTCAAGCTTCAATAGAGCAGGTTCTAAGAGAAAAGTTTGGATTTGTGGTTAGTTTGAAATCGAAACTCACCTTTTCTGACAGCTGTTTTTGGCATATTTTGCAAAATGTGGAAACAGGCTTCCATAGAATACACCCTCATCAGGCTGTTGGGAAGTGCTATTGCGTCAAATAACAGAAGTGAGGAGTGAAATTTTGGCACACAAGGTAAAAAAACTACTACAAAACTGAAGCACGCACATTTAAAGATAACATGCGACAGGAAGGCTGTTCACATACTGGAGGTGTGAAAACTTGACAAAAAGGTCACAATTCTACCTTTAAAAAATGAGCACGCTCACACATCTGTTTCTGTTCGCTCTCAAATCTTGACTCAGATTGATTACAGAGCAAATATCTTTCAATTTTGTCATTAAAGAACTCCCATAGAGGACAAGTAACCGAACAGATTTCACTGCAAGCAAAAGTCTGAAAAAAAAATAAAATAAAAAGTGTGCTGAAGCCAACAAGCAAGCGACTATTATTCTGCAACATTACTCACTTCCAGTAAATGCTTTTTAGAACCAACTTGTCCACTTAACAGCAATGCTTAAAGTAATTATGTTTTTATAGCACTATCTATGCCTTCATACTTGTCAGACTAAATAAACCTTAGACATAGCTTAACTGTGGAACAGAAAATACACACTGGAGGAAACAAAAACACATTCCAAGTAACTAAGGGCATAAGTAAATGTTTCAAAAAACGTAAAGCAAGTAGAAAATAAAACTTACTGGATGCTTTAAAGTTTGAGTAAACAAAGATTCTTACTGGTCTTAGATATTTATGTCCCCATCGAGTTGGCTTGCGCTGACTTTGATAGCTCCTTCATTCAGATTTGTGTGCATATCGTTAGATTTTCAGGTAAAGAAAGTTATACTCAAATGAAGCTTATTACGGTTGGTAGGTCTTATTAGTAGTAACAATAATAATAATAATAGGTGAAATTAAAACACAGGTTTATTTTTTTTAACAGTTTGTTATACACAAGTTATACATACAGTTCAAATCACCGCAGGGTAACGCTCCAAATTACAGCCACTTTCTGTTTCTGTTCTTCCCGTGCTGCTGCAGGAAATACACAGCACCAGAACTTCACACAACATAATGATAATAATTTGCTTTTTACAGGTTTGTTTCACAAATTAACCGACAGAAAAGCAGAGTTATTCAGTGCACAAAATGCTTTTAAGATTATGTTTTTCCTTTGAATTGCAGTTTTTTTTCTGCTCTTCAAAGTTCAACACGTGTTAAAACGTTTTACATTTAGCACTTTCACAACACGACTCTGTACTTTTTAAACTTTACCATAGGGTTAGACATTTCAAGTAATATTATAAACATGTGAGAGGGCGTAATTTCAGAGGTTTACCCCGCTGTGGTCTCAGTTTTCCCCACTACAGAGGGATACACGTCATCTTGCAAAGACAAGGCCTCGCAAAAACTGAAGATGGACCCTAACAGGAACTACCTACAACTTCCCAAAACGGCAAAAACAAAACAAAAAACTGAGACAGCCTGGGAGCGTAAACAAAACCCACAAAAGGCAGTAGTCGACGAAAAGCTGGGATGATGAGAAAAGCAGGAGGAAAAACAAAAGAGTAGGAGATAGAAAACACAATTTATAGCAATAAGAATAATAAACGGGAATATTCTGGGAACTCCTCTACATCGTGTTGTTGTTCAGTGGCAAACTCTGGTTTTTATTTTTATTTTAACAGCAGCTGCCTGAAGCATTTGCAAACCCCCTTTAAATTCTTCTCCTTCAATCCGATCTCTTTTTTTTATTATTATTATTCGTTTTTCCCGCTCCGTATCTTACAAAAACCGAACAGAGGATACAGGTGGTGTGTTGTAGCTTTATTGTAGCTCTGAGCCAGACCGGACGGTTGATAGGCACAGAGTGGAGAGTTTTGGCTCGGAGCTTGCATGCTGGAGTCACGCTTTGACAGGAAGAGGAGGAAGAGGAAGAAAGTCTAGAAGGAAGGGAGAAAATGGCTGTTTGGGATTTTATTTAACATAGCAACTGCTTATGTTGTATCTGCTGGATGCTCTTAAGAACCGTCCTCGTCGTTAAATGAGTTAAATATTAGTAAAAACTGGTGATGTATGTTTTTGCTCATTGATCTATAATTTATTTCATTATTACACTACCTGGTAATTTATTAACATTAACAGTTTTGTTAACATTTAAATCCATTTAGAAGTAAATTTTATTTAATTGTGAGCGCGTATTCTATTAGTTTTTTGGTGTTACAGTATCGGTTGCTACAAGCTGACTCTAAATCGAAAATTCGGTCAATTGACATCTTCAACAAATATTTGACAAAAGATCGATCGATAATGAGGAGCGACCCCAAACAGCACCGAGGGGAAGAGGAAGGAAGGAGGGAGGGAGGAGGAGGAAAGGAGGAGCGTCTATTTCTTCTTGCTGAACAGACTGAAGCGTTTCTCCTTGTCTTTCTCTCGTTTGCCCGGGCTGGACTCGGCCGCTGCTGTTGCGACTGAGGCTGGCAGCGTCTGAGCGCGTGCGGCGGGGGCGGGCGTGCTATGGCTGCTGGGCGTGACCTCCGATTTGTCGCCTGACACGGCAGCCGAGATGGCCGAGATCCACGTGTTCATCTCCTCCTGGAGGGCGAAGAGAAGGAGAGGGAGGGAGGGGGGTCAGTAAGAGCATTTATTAATGTACTTTATGTAATGTTAATTAACTTCTCCTCCATCCATCCACTTTATGTAATTACAACTTTAATATACAGTGATTCATTATTTGTTTGTACAGTAGCCTGAATTTATGGGCGTCCACAGTGTTGAGAAATACATAAATATGTTCAATAAATATATTTGTAATAAAACATTTATTAAAAATCTGTTAAGGAATGCTAAACAGGGGTAAGTGCTAAATATAAATATATATAAAAAAGAATGAATAATTACTTTAAAGTAAAATTACAATGGCAAAATTAAAAGAAAATGTAGCAAACCTTTAAATATGTCAAAAAAACAAAACTTAAAAAATTATAACAATAATAATAATAAAATATATCGAATTACTGGAGGACAGAGACCTGGAGGTGGACTATGACAATGGTGCCCACTGTAAATATATAAAGAGAAGGATGCGCCATAATATTGAAAGAAAGAAATAAACTCACGTCATCTTTGGCTTGGAAGAGATATTCATTCCCATCAGTAATCCTGTGGAAGTCAAAAGAATGCATTAAATAATAACCAGAAGTGTGCAGGACTCCTCTATCTACAGATGGTTTACTTTACTCTGGTTAATGAATTTTAAAGACGCTTTAAAGCTTCACTGATCGATATAGTCAACAATGCATTAAATGCGTATTGTGCAAAGGAACCCACAGAGAATTTGTCACTTTTAGCTCCTAGTTTTGGGATTACAGAACATTTACGTTTGCTTCAGTGTCAGATGTGGTGTTTTCCAGCTTGTGGAGGAGTTCTGTCCAAGAAAGTGGCCAAAAACATCAGTGAGTGCTCTCCCAGATGAACGCCGCAAGCTGAAACGTGTTGATCTCACAATTTCCACGACAACAACCAAGTTGGTTTTTTATACTGCAAATGTTGCTGAGGAGTTTTGACTTCATAATATTTCCCTTCTCTATGCACACCTTGGAAGTAAGATTGTGTCACTTATTATTATTCTTAATTCGGTTTAGGGGATAAGCACACACTTTAGTTTTGGAGAGTTTCTTTTTTTCAGTTTTTCTACACTTTTGGCAAACTTGCACCACTAAAAGTATGCCGAGTACTTATGTACGTACAGACAGATATACTCTGATTACTCTGATAATGAAGAAAAGGCAGGTTCTTGAGTTATACGGAGTGTCTTTTCTCTATGATTTGAAGGGCTGACCCCCAATAGTTGAAGATTTGATGCTTCGATGGGCGGAGCCTGATTCGACGGTCAATCTCACAGTCGAAGCTTCGCAGTGAAACGAGGATCACGCCATTTTGGTGATATGGGGGTGCTCAACGTTTGATTTTACATAGAACTACCAGTTTTCTCCCAATAAGTTAATATACAGCCCGTTACAAGTGACGTGACGAGCCCGGGTCGTCAGTGCGCATGTGTGGCGGCAGCAGAGGAACACTTGCTGAAGAGACGGAGCTCCAGCTTCACTGGTGTTGTGCTGAGTTGTTTGCACCTCGTGGGACTTTCGGATAATTTATCACCGTTGATGATGATGAACCACACAAAGAATATTTTATCGTTTTTAAATAGCCGGCTACTTGAAATAGACCTGCGAGGAACCGTGACGTGCGTGCAGCTGTCGGCATGCACGAAAAACTCACACAAGACCGGTGAATGACCGGGGGGAGAAAGAGAGAGAGAGAGAGCGCTTCAAGGGTCTTCAAAAAGCCTCAGTTTAGCTGGAAATTTTGAGTGTAAATTGAATGAATAGAGTCTGCAGCTTCTCAAGATTAAAGCGGAGCTACCGTGTGTAACCCCCCCACCTCTGTTCGCAATCACCGCGCACATGACGACACATCGAGTATCAGTCGACTACAGGCAGGGCTTGACGATTCTGATTCGACTATATACATCCTTAGTCGGGGACAGCCCTGATGATTTGTAAGCAGATTTATGGATGTTTGTCCACAATGGGTAACAGATCTGAAACTGAAACTACAAACACTGTTTCAGCTCTCTGTGTTAAGATGCGACCGAGTTATGACTCAGAGACGGAGTGCAATGTTTGACACAAATTGCAGCACTTCACTGCAGGCAGCATCTTTATAATACCTCACACTGCTCTCAGTCTGCATTTGCTTGAGAAACAGAACTTCGTTAAAGGATAAAGAGTAACTAACAGTATCATCCGTTAACCAGTCAGATTCGCAAAGCAAGTATGTTCCTCGTTTTATCTTTCAGTTACAGTTCGGCGCACTGTTCTGATCCTCAATGTGGGTCTGCGAAACAAAGAGAGAGTGTTTCCATCATCGGGATGCTCACTTGAGCTTGAAGACGTGTTTCTTCTTCTTGTAGTCCAACGCCACCTCGCAGACGGCATCCTTCAGGGTAACGGGAATCTCGCTGTGGTAGGGAATCCCCTGACTGGCGCTCTTCTGATCCTTATAGAAACCCATCTCCTGCTGATTGATCACACAGTACACATTGTGCCACGACCTGCAGAGACACAACGAGAGTCAGATCATTTATCAATATCTCAAAGTTAAATCGCTAAAATTACAGATCTTTTACCATTTTACCATAAATTTAAAAAAAGAAAAACTTGTCTTTGGTCAACTATTTCTATTTTACAGAAGTAGTCAACACTTAGTCTAAAACAGATGAATCCACCTCAAAACTTTAATTTAAATTTTTTTATTTCTGTTAAATCAACTTCCTTCATGAAGAGGAGGACAAGAGAAGAGTAATTTAACACCAAAATAGAAAAGCATTGTTTTAATAGTTTTAGTAGACTAAAACAGTAGAAACACGTCTTGGTTGCTGCATTTCAGAAGTTGGTGTTGGCCGATCACCGGGTGATTCCTACCTGCTAGAAGCCTTCTTGTTATGCCCCTCCCACTCGTGTTTGCGGTGCAGGAAGCCCTCCAGCTGGGACGTGGGAGCGTCCAGCTGCGTTTTGGCCGGCAGGGTCGCTGCCTGGCTGGCCTTGCCCTTGCGTGATGCCCCGGGAGACTCCGTGGGGCTGGGCTCCGACACCCCCGTTCACCACCTCGGCCCCGTCGACGTTTTCCTGGAAACAGAAGAGAGAGGAGAGTCAGAGGAGGACTGTGGATAGATGAAGCTCCCTCACTTATTCTCTTTTAAAGACACAGAAGCTGTAAATCATTGATCAGAGCTGCAGCATGCAGAGCAGAGCAGAATCACAGGCTGTGTAGACACACTTCTCTAAACTTACCCACAACTGGTAGATGAATATGGTTTTTTTTTTGTAAATTGTTTTGGTGTTTGTCTGCAACCTTTAGGCCTACGATGCTTTCATTTCCTGAATCTACTCACGCTAAATAAAACTTGAATTAATAAAACTGTTGACAAAGCCTGAATCAACTGCACATAACTGTAGCAGGTCAACTTAATGCACTATGGGAACTAGCTTCAAGTTACAATATTAAAATCGGTTTGGGTTTAGACAGAGACCATGCCTTCACATCAAACGGCAAAGCAACATGTGCTAAATACCGTTACGAGATAATATACGAGATATTTTAAAAACACATATAGTGTAATCTTCTTTGTCTTGGGGCCAAGGACCACAATGTAAATACACTGCACTTAATATGCTGTGTTTACATACAAGCCACCAGAAGAAATTAAACCTAAAAAATAAGACTAAACCAAACCGGAAGCGATACCCAAGTCACTTTAAGTAACAAGTAAGTTTTAAGTCTTGAAGCTAAAGTCCCGAGTCAGTCAAGGAAACTATCATGTCACAAGTTCTAAACCAGATTATGTAAGAGATAGAGAGAGAGAGAAAGTGTTTCCCTTTCCTGGTTGAGTCCAGATCTTTTAAAGTTGTTACACTTAATCCTCGTTAAATCATGAATACAGTTGTCAAAGTCAAGTCTTGGTGGCTTTCATAAAGTCGAGACTAAAGTCATCAAATACTGTACGTCTCGAGTCCCTGCCTCTGAACTAAACTACAACCTACCTCAAATCCAACGCAAGCTAATATCAACTACACTGGACTAAAGAACCATCGGTCAAACCACGGACATCAGCTACATCAGCCTTTGTAATGCATTTTTAAGCTTTTGTTTTTTCAGCATTTAATTGTGAGAGCTCAGCGCTGGACTCTGATTAGACAAACATCTGCATTGTATATTACCAGCACACACGGTCTTGTCTGATCATACACTGATTATTCGTTTTAGGACATGCATTATAAATCACAACACCACTCCATAAAACACACACACAAAATGGTGGACAGTGTGAAGAAATACAAGGAGAGGGAGAAGCTAGCAGATGGGAAGAACAAAATAAATCTCAAACAATTATCCACAAAATTGCTTGGAACTCATTACTCGACATCATTAATGGTGAGGGGAGAATGCGATTGGCCTAGTATCAAAACAGATTTAATTTTTTCCACACCACACCCACTCCAACCGGATGCTTATTACCCTGTTACTGAGCTCTTCGTGGCCTGGACGAATGGTGGATGCTCTTTTTGAGAACAGTTCAGAGGCTGGACCAATCCTGGGCGCTTTAACTGTGGGGGCTGCAACAGCTGGACGGATCCTGGGAGCTTTTATTTAGAGCTTGGCGAGCGCTAGACCAATTGTGTGAGCGTTTTACTGGGAGTCTTAGAGGCTCAACTAATCCTGAGATTAATTTTATTGAAAGCTTGATAAGGGTTGGACCAAATCGAAGAACTTTCCCTGATAGCTAATCAAAGGTTGGATCCATTTAGAGATTTCTTTAGTGGAAGCTTTTCGAACACTAGACCAGCTCTTAGAGGTGTTTGTTACCGTTTCTTAAGCATTGGACCAATCCTGGGAGCCCTTACTGAAAAACGGCAGAGAGGTAGACCAGATCTAGAAGCTGCAACTTTAAAGCTCATCACGCTTATGACCAATTCCGAGTACTTTAATTGAAATACCGCAAAAAAAGACTGTATCCAGAAACATTCACTGTCGAGAACTCGACCAATCCCACTGGCCATTTAATCTCTCCTAATAAGTGGCTGCCTGAGTTTGAAATGTCTCAGTCTAGCTTCTGTCTCCCAATATTCCTGTTTCTCCTCTGGAAATAATAGACAACGTGTTTATCTTTAGGTACGGGTGAGATTAAAAATCCTGTGATAGAAAGTTACATTTTACAACATTTTCTATAATCATTTGATCGTACTAAACTCTCAATTATCAAAGCATATGAAGTAGTGCTATTTAACATTTCAACTATGTCACACAACACTTCTTTCATGATAAACCCGGTCAGAAATTATTGTGATGAATACTTTATGAGGATTTAACTTTTAAGTAAAAGCTTATATTCTGGGACATTACAGATAAGAAAAGTAAAGCTGGGCAGACTGTATGGATTAAGCCCCTGACAAATTGTACTGAATTCCTCGGTTGTAATTTGATTAGCAGTTTGAGATCTCAACACATTAATTGCCTCAACAATCTGGCTCTCATACGTTACATTTCTGGAAGGTCAGAAAGTTTGTTTGTCTTTTGCGGCTAAATGTGGCCTTGAGTGTTGTGGTATAAAACTGAACTTCGCTGCAAAGCAAACAGATCAAACTGTATGTTCCATCTGCGGTTCCATATTTTTCTTTTCTTCCTTCTTATTTTCGGTTCATAGTCACTGGACAAAACCAACAGGGGCTTCGGTGTTGTGTGTATTTATTAATCTTGTACGTTGTGTTAACTCCGTGTCTGCGCCCAGCTTAACACCTAATTAGTTTATCCAAACATTTTTCCTTTTACAAGATGAGAGCTTTAAACCATCACCAGCAGCTACAAAACATTAACTGTGGTGGTACATTTCCTTGCAACAACTGCTACCGTGGCAGGAAACAGCAGCACCTATGCGTGGTTATCCTCCTTTTCCAAAAATTGTATATCTTTTGAATTAATTTGCCCACCAGCCGATCATTTGGTGAAATCTACTCTACTCTCAAATCAAGGAAATTTGCTAATAAAGGAAGTTAATTTTATGGCTTTGCAATTATTATTTGAACTTGATTTTGATCCATGTCAATGAAAGCAGCCTAAAAACCAAATAACAATCCGCCACAGTAAATATATATGTATTAAAATAAAGCCCCAGGATGAAAATCGGTGGAAAACATGATGAAGAAATACAACATTGACAGAAATGCTAATGATGGTGTCAGCATGCAACAAAAATATCATTAAAACCAATTCTGTACATGTAGAAAAGTCACAGCTATACATGGATAACACATGGACAGACAAACCAGAATGGGTCAGAGAGCACTGATCGGTTCTAACCGGGTTTATTGAGGAATGTGTGTTAGTCAGGGAACGACTGACGGATGGACATGCGACAGAAAACATTTAGAGCAATAAAGAAATGATAACAGTAAAACATGAAAAACAGAAAGTGATAATGACAATACAAAACAGTGACACAAAATCATAACATAAAATATAATAAGGATTGAATAGATAAACACAGGCAGTGGGACAGGTCTAAATGTTTATAAATGAATGATCAGTTTTACGTGAAGGTGTGGAGTAATTTTGAATATGGATTAATTCATATGCAGATGATCTGTATGTACAATGATTATGTGTAAAAACAGTATTGTTGTTATTTAAAAAAACACAAGTCAAAGTACTAACTTTATTTTTCTGGAATGAGTTTAGATTGTCAAACTTGCACAAAATCTTTTTTAATTAATTATTAATTTGACTCTTAGATTAAGTCTCAATTATCCAAAAAAGAAAAATAATACATATGAAACTTAAAATATAACTTTAAATGTATATTATTGGTTTGCCTTTGCTTTCTATTGAATTGCATTAAAAGCATGCACATGAAAATGCAGTGGGGAGATGCAACCGAAGAAAAACGTACAGCTCAACGTTAATTTCTCCTGTTAATTTAACAGTTATAATTATTGTATCATTTCTCTGGTGAGCGGGCTTTAAAAGTTGCGAATGCAATTTACAGTATTGTAAAATTTGGATTCTTATCCAGAAGTGAGAACCTTATAGTATTTTCAAATTGTTAATCCTGAACAGTTAACAGTAATCTCAGTTTTTATCCAATTTCCACAACAAACTGTTAACTATTTCAGTAATTGAAAGTGAGAAGTCATCTGTTAATCACATACCGGGCTGGTTTACGTAAATAAACATATGGGTACTTTACACAGAGTGAATGTTGTATGTGTGATGGAAAATGTAGTGATACACATGCTTAACTCTATGAAAAATAAATATGGAGGATGGTGAATTTGGGCTGAGGGATGTAGAGACACCTGGGGCAGGTAGATACTGTATGAGTAAAAAAATAATAATTCAAATAACCTCTACACCAGAAATATTATAGTTTTTTTTTTTTTTTTAAATAAATGTCTGTCTGGCTTGAACAAAATATAACTTTAGAAAATATAAAACAAAGAGTAGAATTTTGAAAATCAACTCTGCATAAATCTGAATGATTCTGAGATTTCAGCTTAAAATCCTTTATTTTAAGACAATAAAAGTAAGACATCATTTATCTGAATGTGACCTCAATATATTTTGGAGAATATTCTAATAGTATTACATTGTTTTTGGTTGAATGCCTGCTTTATATTTGAGATTTCATTTTACGTTTAGTTTGATTACTAGTTTGATTAGTATTTCTCATTACGCTGATGACACCACACTTTACACACGGGAATAAATATCATCTAAAAAAATCCAACAAAACTTTAACTGATCCTCAGATTTGAAAATCACTGTTGATGTAATGATTTAGGAGGGAGGGCCATGTCTCAAGTGTTCATATTCCAGAGAGTGAGTTTATAAATGATGACGTAAACTAACAGACACATTAACAGCTGAGGGGAGAGGATGACAGGAGTGTCGAGCTAAGAGAGACAGAGGGAAGAAGGGAGGAGTAAAAAGGAAAATGAGGGGAGGAACGGACAGAAACACGCGTGTGGTTTGTTTTTGTATATGTATGTGTGTGTTTTGTGGTCCCACACACTGCTTATGCACTCACACCGAAATAGAGATTCATACCCATTTCTCTAAATGTCTCAAAATACAAACATTTAAATATTTAAGTCAGTGACATTTACATTATTCACGTACACCCTACACTGTTTGGTAATTTTTCAGGTTTAAAGAGTACAGAGCACCATTTTGTAACATGTTTATCATTTTTACTGTGGTATATCATTGTTTCTAATTTATTTTTAATCAAACAAATTAAGTACAAAAAGGAATGTTAAAGAAAATCAGCAAGAACTTGTATATTTGCTTGAGAAAGCTTCTCAGCGGCCACATTTGATTTTAATATTAAAGTTTTCCTCCCAAAGAAAAAGTTGTCAATTTAACTAATTGAAAAGGGACACCACAAAGATTAAAAGGTATCATCTACTTAAGCTACTTTCCATTAGTACCTAACTAAGTTTCCTTACAGTTTTTATCTGTAGGAAGTTCCTCCTTCATGCATTATGAAGCAGAAACAGAATAAAACTGAACAGGCCTGTGTGTCCACCTGGATCTCATTTTAAGTTCTGGCTTCTGTTACTGCTTGTTCAGTAGTAGTTCAGTTGGCATGAGCTGTCTTTACATATGTCAGACTTTATCTAGGCTGAAGCGTTTTAGCAGAATATTTCAGTGAGCACCAAATTTAAACAAAAACCGTTTGCATCGATTTGAGAAATGGCAAATCTAAAAAAACAACAGCTTGTAATCAATTCCTATCTTCCAATTGAATAAAAGCAGCTCAGTCACCACATTTATCTCTTCAGTTCAGTCTTACAGAATTTGAACTGCTTCTTCCTGTAAAACACCAAGACTGAAAACAAGAATCCAGGTGGACATGGAGGACTTATTAAAAAAAAAACCTGCAGATACACTCTTAAATCAGTAGTACTACAGCGTAAAGGTGCAACAAATCAAAATGTTCTGGTGCTATGTTGGTGATAATTATAAACAAATGAGGCCATGGTGAGGCTTCATCAGTCCTATGGCTTCTTGGCCCGATGTTCTTACAAAAGAGGTTCCTAGAGGTGATTTAAAGGCCTCTCAGAGATGAAGATCTCATTTTGTTAAAAGTATTTATACTAGCACCTTAAAACAAAGTGATTGTCATCAGTTCAAGCTAAAATTACACATGGGGTACTTTTAAAATTATTATACAGAAAATATTAATCAGTAAAGAGGAGAAGCAAAAAATAAAGGCTGAAGACAAATGATAAATGCAGGAACAGTGTTGTTAACAAACCCAGTTAACAACAGAGTGAATGTTATTTCTGTATGAGGTCAACGGTTATTTTTGTGATGTTTATGTCTCTGCATGCATGTGCTTTGGAGTGTGTGCGTGGTCATATTTAAGCATCTTGAATGTACATGTATCATTAGTGTGTGTGTGTTTATGTGTTTGTGTGTGTGTTTGTGTGTCAGAGTGCGGTGGTGGTCCTGCGGTTCTGCAGGGTGCTGCTGTATTGCTGGTAGGCAGGTGAGCGGTAACTAACCCTGGGAGACTCCTGATCGGACGGCAGCCCGTTCTGAGAAAGCAGCTCACCCTCCCTGCAAACACACAAGGTACACAAAGACTTACACACACTCTTGATGAATTTTACACTTATATAAACACACAAGAGCTGCAACTGTTCACTACTTTCATTATTTATTACAAAATGGCTCTTGCACACCGGCAGTGAAATATTATGTATTGCCAAATTTTGTGCAGAGTTCACTGTCATCTGCCCTGTTGAGGTCATGAACTTTTATCTGCACCCATTTCCTTTTTTGTTTTGTTTTCACTTTCAGTAGAATATCAAGAATCAGCAGAGGCCGAAAGGTCGCCTTCAAAGATATATTAAATCCTCATGAAAAACAATAGAGGAAGTACAACTTGCATCTGACAGTAATGAAATGAAAAGCAGTTACTCCACCCCTTATTATGTCACAAAACCCAAAGGCGTTCAATTTCCAATAATATAAAACAGAGAGAAAAACTCTCACCTCTGCTGTGCTGCAGCGTCGCCGGGCTGAGCCTCAGTAGGCGGGGGTTGTCTCCTCTTCTCTTCTTCCTCTTGCGCTCTTCTCACTTCCAACAACTCCATCTGCACACACAAACACATGGGGCCTTATGGAAGAACCAATCACACAAGAACATTTGTTCTTGACACGCACGTACGAGTCATTTAAAAGAACTTCTTCAGACCTGTCACACGAGTCATGTACAGATAATCTGACTCTCTCCACAAGGAGGACACTCGTTTGACTTAATCTGAATGAATTTAGGTTTATTTGATGGCATGATTGTTATTGGCATATCTAGGCACACCAAATCCTCTTCAACTGTCTCAGGGTCTCATATTCTCTGGTCATATTAATCATTTGTTTCTTTATTTCTGTCACAGCACAGAGCTGCTTTGATGACAATTCACTGAAAGCTGTATTATCAATATTTTCTAATTGTTTGGGTGACTACAGACAAACTTGTTATCTATCTGGCCTGTGATTTCTGACACCAGGACTTGAAGGATATTATTTTATTTTTTTACTCTTAACATTGTTGTGATTGAAATTTGACCACAAATTGAGTAGAACAGGCAGCCTTTCATTGCAGTTTTAGAGGCCAAGATCATGCTAACGATGACATCTCATGAACGCCCACCTCCTCATTAATAGGTGGAATTTATCAGGCTGAAAGGAGCAATTTATGACATGTTTGTCGAGTTAAGTTGGTGATTCTGACTTGAACAAATTTCACAGAAAAGTTTTAGGATAAGGAAATGAAAATATTCCTGCATGAGTCCATTTTAAAACTTTCTCATGGCTCCAGGGTGTGAGCACACTCGAGTCTCACCGTGGTCAACCTCTCCAGAGCGGAGAAGCGTTCCTCCCAGGTGGCGGCCGACTTCTCAAAGGCCTCGTGGCGTTTGATGAGTTTCTCCACCTCGTCCACGTTCTGGCCGATCTCCCTGCTGGACAGATAGGGCTCCTGACCCAGCAGCCACGCCTCGGCCACACCTGCGTCCCGGGAGAACTGGTGCACCTCCAGGACTGAACACATACACACATGCATTTCCACGCTCACGTTCTGTGAACATATCGGCTGAATAAACTGAGACACTGTTGAGTGACTGACTTATTGGATGAAACAACTTACCCAGTCTAAGCCACTCCCATCTGTCCTCCCACTTGTCAATCATGTCTTTCCTCTTATCCGTCAACTGTAACAACTTTTCTTTAATCTGAGGGGAGAAGACATTTTAAGTGAAGATTGGAAAAAATTGGAACATTTTCAAATGTATTCATGTGGTTTAGAGACAGAATGAGTTTAAGACAACTGTACAAAACAACATGAGCATCAATCTGGAAATTACGCTGTAATGTACATGTTACTTTGAAAGGAAGGCTTTTAAAACAAGACCGCCACCACTTCACTTCTCTTAAAATATTTCTTTAATTTTTTTTTAATCCAACCTGAAATTATCACAAATTCGACAACTAAACCCATAAATAAATGCTATTAATTCTGACTGAACACAGCTGATTTATATCACAAAACTAAAAGTTTAGCTGTGTTTAGTTTAGCATGAATGATGTGGGTTATAAATCTGTTTTGATGGATGTGCACTAAAACTCCAGGCTTTAAACAGTGAAAAAAATACTTTAGAGAGTATATTAGTATCATTTTAAGTCCTTAAATTGATTTTATTTGAAACTGACATGTGGATATTCTGAAAATTTCTCCCCACCTCTTCTGAAGCGTAATGCTTCCTGGCCAGCAAGGCTTTGCCCAGCTCGATGCAGGCTGTGAAGCTGTCGTTGCGGGCGTCGATCTCCGCCTTGATGCCCTGGTGGTTGTTCATCAGCAGCTCCACCGACGACACGTCCCTGAAAAAAGGCAAGAAAACAACATCAACTGTGTGAAATAAGACGAAATTAATCCCCAGCTGGATTAATATCTGGTACAACATTACTTTTGTTTAAATCAACCTGGCTACACGAAACAACGAAATGAATGCTTAGACTGATAGTATAACCAATATAAAAGACCAGTTCATTGATTACTACTGAGTATTATATAATTATAGAAAGCACTTGGATAAGGCTACACAGTCCTCTAATCATTGCTTTTTGTTTAATAGAAACGTGTTCTGGATTCAGATCTGCACTGCAACGCACAAAAAAACTAGCAAACAACCTGCTTTTCTTACTTCACGTATTAATATTTTGATAATATTTTCTTTCCATAATAAGAGATAAGATAAGATAAAGATATGAATAAAATTATTAGCAAAATTATATAAAAAGGCATTTATTTTTAGGAAATCCAAAGTGAGATTTATGGGATATGTAGTAATTTCTGGTACAAATTGATAGTTAAAAGTGGAAATTCATTGACAGAATTATTTATTTAGCCCAATCACAGCTCTTCTCTCTGTGTGCTATTTAATCAAACTCCAATTACAAGTTAGCATCAACTCGTCTTTCATCTATTTCTGTTTTATTTAAATGCAACTCTGAGGCAGCTGCGTGCTGAAGAAAGAAACTAAAAATGGCTAAAAACACATCAAACTCTCCAAACTTGCCTTTTCCTTCAGCTGAAATGTTTCCTGCTGCAATATTAACGCAGGAAATTCTTTGATATCTTGTGTGAAAAAGCTTCAAGAGAGAGAAATAAAGATCTCCCTACCTTGGATTCTCCTGGGCCTCGATCAGACGGATGACGTCCTCCATCCACAGCATCAGGTCCCGCACCATGCTAAAGAAGCGGAACTTGTCTCCGGTATCGACCAGCTTCACCCGGCGGCCCTCCGCCGCCTCCAGCAGGTTCTTCCAGGCCTCAAGGACCTGAGGGGGACGAGATGACAAACAGCAGAGTTCAGAACGAGAGAGACCGGAGGCTGGAGTCCTCCAACACACAGAGGATCACTGTTTTAACCTGATAAATTAAGTTTTCATTTACCATATATCAGGCCCATGATTTCAAGAATTTGCAGTTGCATTATTGATCTTCCAGCCAAAGATCAGCCAGCTCCTTTATGGAGGAGCATCTGAGAACTTTAGAGAATAGAGGAGGGACCGCAACATGACACTATATACAGAGATTTTGATATTGTCCCTTTAATATCTCTGGCTGTATTAGGTCATTGTAGGTTGCATGTTGCAAATCAGTGAGGAGGACTGCTTTATGGCAATATTGGATTTTATATGATTTATGCATCAATGGATGTAATTTGATGTGTCAGGTATTAGATTTACCCTCCATGTTTTTAAGTGGATATTGTTTGCTTGTGTCTTCCACCTCCTCAGAATCAAACCCTCAGACCTCTCCAAAATCTGCTGGCACCAAGTGGATAACAAGGCACTGGGATTCAACGGTAACTGACAAGCTGGTGAGCTGTTTCAAGTTTATTTAGTAAATAAATAAATCAGACTGATAAATCAGCGTGCCGATATTATTGGCTGATATAAGCTAATTGCAGATATCTGTGTTTATAACAGCTGATTAATGACAATTAAAGAGAAATAGAGAGACGGATTCAACTATAATGTTGCTATGAGTGTTGCATAGTTTGTCTACCAGAGGGCGCTGTGCAGCACTCAGTTTGAGAGCTCTGGAAAGCAATCAGCCTACATGATCAGCTGTACTTTCTCTCAAAGTAATATTTACAACATTAAAAACAGTTTATTTTTAAACTGCATCCTGTCACGTTATCTTGGTCAGGTCTTATAACTACACATAACAAATGTTAGGGATAATCTTTGTTTATGGTATCTGTTTCTGAAGAAAAAAAAAAAGGATATCGACTCATAAACAGGAATTTAAAATCCTCAAATATCAAAATTGGTATTCGTCTTAAAAATCAGTCAGGCTCTATTTTTTTTTTTTTTTTTTTTTTTTTTTTTTACACAGTACAAGCACATTTTGCAGACTTAGATTTGAAACTGTTTAGTGTTTTTATTTTTTATGTCAGGTGCTCAGACATCACCGAGACTGTTTCGCTTAAATATTTAATTAGATAAGGAATATGGGGTTCAGTGTCTTGGAGGGTCCGTACCCTACCACACTGAGTAATGGCAGACCCGCTTGCTGAAGCAGCTTGTTGTCCAGTAAACCTCGATCCACTCGGTCAAAAACACTATAAGGTAGATGGTTAGATTTGAGCTAACTGTTAGCAAGCTAAATACCCACTAACAATATTAATGTGTGAGCATGCTAATAATAATGCTAATAATAGCTACCAGCTAAGCAGTGTTGATTATTTGCACAGATACTATGGTTAGCCAGCTACAAGCTAGTTTCTATCAATCCGTCAGATGGCTCGTGATGAACTGATCAGCCCCCACTCAGAGACAAAAAAACAACCAAGTCTGATCAATGCTGTTGCAACAATAACAAAAAGTATTAGCAGCAACTATAACACAATTGCTGAAGACCTCCAAATGGAAAGTAGAGGGTAAAATGCTGCGACTCTGAACACAGTATGGGAAAAGTGCTGCTTGTGGGATCAGTAGCAGCTTTGGGAAATATTATGAAACTGGTTGGCATTCAGTCATGTACACACAGCAAGTGTCATTTGTGTAATCTTTCAGTTAAGTTAACGGTCAAAGGTGATACTGACACTCGGTTTCCAGAGTTCTGTTTTCCTCGACATACACGTTCGCTAAATGCAGACATTTGTAGCCAAAACGCAACCCAAACCGCAAGTCAGACAGTTCAGCCATCACTGAATGTCACCTGACTTGTGATTGGATAGCTGCATCGCTGCACCACAACACAGATAAAAATAAATACATCACGGTTCTACCACATTTTCCAGCCACAAGCAGCACCACAAGTCAAAGTGTCTGAGCTTCAGGAGGCAAAGCTGCACAGAAAGTGCTTTTTGTATGTTCCAATGGAAGCGTGCCGGCTGACACTTTAACTGTCAGCCATTCATTTTAGCTGCAAATGTCTGCAGAATGAATGTCCTCTGTAAGCTAACACAGTAGATTTGCGCATAATCTTTTCACTCGTCTCTGAGTAACATATTCCGCCACAGATCCATCTGACACTGAGACACTGTTAACAAAGTTGATGGAAACATGGCTGCAGAGGACTGCAAGCAGCGACATTTTGCCAGCTAACAAGCAACTACATTTAAGCAAATGCGAACAAAAACATTCGATTGCACCGCTGTGTGCAGTCATGAAACATAAAAAATGCATCTTAAATTGATTTGCAAAAAGCTAAGACACTAGAGGCCTACATTTCCAGTTTTCATTTACACTGTCCGACCAAACCCAAACTGTATTTGCAAACTACTGGTAGCATTTGTTTTAACCTCCTCAGAGGCCCAGGTGAGTGGACGTTACAGCTTATTGGTACTCATAAGGTTAGATCATCGATCAGAAAAACTGAGTTTGTATTGAGTTTGTGTCGACTTCTGTGCAAAAATCCACCCACACAGTGATCTTAGAACGATATAAAACAAACACTACAAGTATTTGCAAATCACCAGGTCTGCGACTAAGACTAGGCCAGAACTAAACTGCATGAAAATGACTAAAATGTCGCTAAAATTAATCAACATTTTAGTCGAAATATTAAAAGAAAGTCTAAAACTGCAGCCAAAATGAACACTGATGCAAAGCCAATGTTTTTGGTAAACGGAGTCTCACCTCTCCCTTTCTCTTCTGGGTGGACAGGGAGGATATGCAGGGAAATGGACATACAGGGAATGGTCAAAACACAACGCCATCAAAAACACTCAGTGCTAATTACTGTCAACAGTCCACTGTGATTGTCTGGAGACGAGAAGCGCTGGCATGTCGGGGTGCCACAAAAGTGACAATCCTCTTAAATCTGAGGTTATCGTTCACCAACATTACAAGTATTTTATGATGTGTCCTGAGTTTGCAGAAGAACAGCTATTTTATTATACTGAGACGGATTAAGACACTTGTGGACATATTTGTAAACAGAAATGTATGAGAGATGTTTGAAAAAACAACAGTTCATTAAATCTGCAGCATCTGAAAAGTCCTAGCTGGTACACACGGCGTGACACTCGTTAACCCTGTGCGTCAACTTTAAATCCAGCTTCACAGTCTCTAGGAACCCTTCCTGGAAAACAAGCTAAGGTCCCAAGAAAGGTCTAACTGCTTAGCATTAGGTTTCTAGGTTTCTCACAGAACATATTCGGAGGATGCAGTATAGTAATTCTAAATAAATTTTAATCAGAGTCAAGCTAGCCGTTTCCCTGCTTCTATATTTTGTGCTAAGCTAGGCTAATTACATCCTGGATGATCCATTTTCTCTTCTGATTCTGAGGGAAAAAGATTTTCCAAAATGTCCGGCTGTTCCTTTAACCTTTTCAGCAAATGCAACTGTCTTAAATCACAAGTTTCCTTTTGACTTGAGTTCAAAACTCCTGCCCTCTGAATGTGTATTCAGACAGAACGTGATGTGAGTTTTCACATGTGTTAACTATAGATTCAGAGAGACCTGGGTCAAGCACAAAGACAAACATTTTCACCTTGAATCATTGCCTTAATTGTGAATTAGAGTCTATGTGCGTCCACTCTTGACTATGCTTTGACTTTCTATAGAATCACACTGTTTTTCACATTACGTCAGAACACACATTTAGAAATTCAATGTCAAGAAGTTTTGCTCTCTAATATAAGAATCCAAAGCTGGGAGACCTTAATGTTAGGAATAAAATGTATCACCAGGTGGAATTTCTTACAATAATGCAATCTGTTCAGCTGCTGTATGATGTAAACCTTTAACAATGGGCCAAATATAAAAATGTTTTCAGCAATACAATTTTGCTGACAATTTTCCAAAATGACAATCACTGTCTGACTACAAATAGCAGATGTGGCTTTGAACCTCGAAGAGCAATCACATTTCAACTATAACCTAGTTCTAGAAGAAAAATGTATTTCCTTACAGGCACCAATCCGGTTAATATTATGAGCTCCCAGTTTATTAATAAGGATTAATCCCAATGTTCCCACTGTGTGAGGAGACTTTATCATGGAGTTTTTCTGCATTTTGACCACGCCCTGTAAGATCTTATTATGTGTTTAGAATCCAGAGCTTGTTGTATGATCGTGAATAAAAGCAATTTTAAATGATTTGAAGGAAGTACTTAACGTTTCGGCATCTTATAGAAGATTTTTCTCTCTGGGAAAATCAGACTCCATATTACCTACAAATTATTTTGCTTTACTTTCCAAACGAGTCCTCTCAGGGGCGGACAAACAGTGCAAAGTTAGTGCAGCAACAGTGCAGCATGCATGAGGAACAGAGCCTTTTGCAGGGGCTTTATTAACATTAGGTGCTGGGTCCATTTCATTTCGCTTCAATCTGTAAGGGAAGTAGGTTTACATGTCAGAAAAACACTTTAATCGTCACCTAACCCATTATAGTTCTAAACTCATGTGCCAAATACAAAAATATGTTGATAAATAAATGTTTTATATTCTCTGGTTTCCGCAGCAGGGACACTGAGACTCACATTTACTGATTGAACTCAAAGTAAACTGAGCCCAGTCCTGATGCGGTTTGCGTTTCACTGCTGCCTGACACTCAATCTCACCTCTCCTTCTCTCTTCTGGATGTCGTCAGCTTTATCTCCAGCGTAAGCAGACTGCAGACGAACTGCGTCCTCCTGAAGCTGCCGCACCTGAAAACGAGGAGGAGCAGGAAAAGCTTCAGGCTGGCTCGAAAACACACAATGAACCATTTAAACATCAGTATGAGACGCAGGTGGATCGCAGATGCTGTCTCATAGACTGACATAACATCTTCAAACAAACGCATCAAAGTTATAATTGTTCAGCTTTCAATTCTCTTTGAGAGTTTCCTCCCATGATGCTCTGTTTAATCTTACAGCAATTTTTGGAAATGCAAAAAGTAAAAATTATGAATCTCCAGTTCATCTCAAAAGGTGTTGGATGGGGTTGAGGTCTGGATTCTGTCTTCCTCTCATTTCAACAAAGAGACCAAACCTAAAAGAGCACAGGAGTCCTTTACTTTTGGCTATATAATAATATAAACATTTAGGACCCCATCTTTGTTTTTAGTTTTTTATGACAATTACATTTTTACTTCTTGTATCAAAAGCCAATCCCAAATATAGTGCCTGTACCTGTGTCCCCAGCGCCTGAATGTCGTGTTCGAAGGTGGTGTGCATCCTCTGCAGGGTTTCCACCGTGTTCTGGTCACGGCCCAGCTCCTCGGGAAGCTTCTTGTGTTTGTCCAGGATGCGGTTGAGGATCTCCTTGGCGTCGTGGTAGAACTTGTGGAGTTCGTAGGAGGCGGCGAGGATCTGCGTCCGGGTGTCGATGAGCTCCAGCAGGTCGGCCCAGGCCTCGTTCAGGCCGTCCTTCCACTCTGCAATGGTGGCAGCGTCGCCGTGGCCGGTGTTGATCAGCTCGTCCGCCTGACGGTTGACGGTGTCGACGCGCTCCTGGCCGATGTTTCCGGTGTCACGGGCAAACTCCCTGAAGCGCTCCTGCAGCATCTGAAGAAACACAAATGTTAGGAATAACAAGATGACGCTCCTGAGCTTCTGAAGATGCAACATCCTTGTCTACGCCAGCTGAGTAATTAGTGAAAGCAGCACAACGACAGCAGCTTTCCTCCCGTTTGGCTGTGATCAGTTTTGTGTACAGTACACTGGATTATTGAGGGTGACACAGACACTGTAAACGGATACTTGTCACTGTTGACTGTTTCTGAACGACCTCAAACTTAATATTTGATAATTTGACATAAATGCTGACATGTGTGCCATAAACTAATATCATCTGACATGTGGCCCACATATTCAACATTTATGTATCCAGGTGCAAGAAAACACAGATGACTGCAGTTAAACCAGATCTTCTTGTTTCCTCTCAGTCTAAAAAGTGCCTTTCCTGGAAACAGTATTTTTTAAATCCAATTTTCGCCTAGAAACGGTTTTTCAATAATTAAAATGACTGCTGAGAAGTGTATGTAAAATGTAAATCTAATCTGATCAAATATAACCCTACCTTTCTGAAGGTTCACACTTCTAAACAGGGAGGAGTTGTCACTGTCAATTTAAGCACTTTGTTAGTGTCCATTAAATGAAATGAAGCTACCTTTCATTATAAAGCAACACAATCCAGCTTCCAAAACAAATCTCCAAAAATGAACAGCACTAATTTGGCATTTTCAGAACACAGTGAAATGTGTGTTGTACTAACGGTGACGTGTTCGTAGTCCTGTCCCAGCTCGTGGGATCCGGCCACCACCTCCCTCTCAGCGATCCACTGCTCCAGGTCGTCCACCTCCCGGTTCAGCTGGAAGAGACGGAAACGCTCGTCCAGCTTCCCCCGACGCTCCTCCGACAAATCCTTCAGCCCAGCATACAGCTTGTCCACCTGAGACTGACGCATCCCGATACGCTCACTGCACGAGGAGGAGAGAAGAAATGTTACCGTCTTTCTTTCGTTCACTCTTGCTCCTTTCTGTCTCCTGTTCCTTCCTTTCCATCCATCTATACTTCCTTTTCCTCACCCTGTCTTTCCTTTTCTCCTTCCCTTGTCCTTCTTTGCTTCCTTCCTCCCTGGTTAAAATGTGAAAAGCTTCTGCATTAAAGAAGCAAATAGTCCTCGTCCTGACTGTGGCTCTTTACATGTAACCCTTGACCCCCCCCCCCTCACCTGTCGGGGTGTTCGGCGGCCACCAGGCCCCGGCTGGTGCTGGAGAGCTGGTGGACGGTGTCGGCGTAATCCTCCACCGCCTGCTCCAGGATCTGATGCTTCTTCAGCATGGCCACCGAACTCTGCTCGTCCTGAGACACACAGAGAGATTTAGCTTGTTATTTTGTTTGTTGCCAAGTAGAATTTAGCAGACAAAAGAAGAAAACTCAATGGAAGGATCACCAATGAGTGGACAGACAACTGATTCTCGTATAAATTAGGACAGAGAGACAAAACAAAGATGAGAAGGGAAAGAGAATATGAAGTGGAAAGAAACAGTAAAAGGGGAGAAATGAGATCTGGAGAGATTTAGGAAAATTAAAAGGCAGAGACATTTGGAAAAACAATAAGGACGGATAGGGATGGAGGAAAATCAAAAAGTGAAGTAAAAGTTAAAAATAGCAGAGAAACAGATTTCAGTAAGAATGAAAAAAGAGAAGAATAAGTAAAACAGATGGAGGGGGAAAGAATTTAAGTAAATGCACCTCAGCAGTTCTCAGTAACTGGTGTAAAATTTCTGAAACGTTTCACCTTTACAAGCTAAAAGTCTTAAGACAAACACTAAATTATACCATTGTAAAACCCAAACTAAAAAAACTCAGAGGTAACTGAAACCATCTCATGTATTCACAGTCAGGTACCAGAGTTTTTAATCAGAGTATTGTTATAATGTGTACTGACCTGCAGAGACACGGGCAGAAACATCAGACAGACTGACGCAAACACAACAAAATGATGCACAACTGATACAAACTGAGCAACTGGCAGGTGAACGAAAACTAAAACAAACAGGAACAGGAAGTTTTTGATCCACGGGGCAGAGAAACCGAGCAGCAGGATCCTGAATACTATGATTTTAAAGGTTTATCTGCGTGACTGAAACTGTTTTACCAGTAACTCATCAGCTCTGATCCAACAAACAAAAACACTAAATGTCTAGAGCAGTGGTCGGCAATGGGCGGCCCGCGTGGCCAGATTACTTTAATAACGGGAAAAAAACAAAGATTACAGAAGCTGGTGCTGAAACACATCTTAGTCGTGACAGCAAAAGTTACTCACATAATCACCTCCTCTTAAGTGATTGTGCCTACTAAATAAAAGAGCGAGAACGTCTTTGCAGCAGTACTTTATGTCGTGTTTAATTGAGAGCTTTTACTTTGAAAAGTTCTGAAGTAAATTCAAAAAAGTCTTGTGCTTGCTTGACACACCTCTGAAAAAGCAGTCAGAAAATGTGAGATTGGATTCCCCTCAATATAAAGCGATCTCTTCATAATCAAATTGTTGAAAAGGGAGAAAAATAATACTTGCAACAAGTGGACACACAACCCTTTGAACGGGAGTCCTGAGAGCTACTGATTGAGCTAAACAGACACACAGCAAATGACGGATTAATGGTAAATTGACTATGTTCTGGCCCGCCATCCAATCTAAAATTTGACTTATTTGCCGACCGCTGGTCTATATTCATGTTAGGGAGGCTATGATATTCATTAAAGAGGTCTTATTATGCTCATTTTCAGGTTCCTAATCTTATTCAGGGGTTGTACCAGAACAGGTTTATATGGCTTCATTTTCAAAAAACACCATATTTTTTGTCATACTGCACGTTGCTGCAGCTCCTCTTTTCACCCTGTGTTGAAGGCTTTGTTTTAGCTATGGAGTGACACATCTTGTCTCTAAATGATCTTTGTTGGGAGTTGCACATGCTCAGTTCCTAGTTAAGGACTACTAGCCAATCAGAAGCAGAGAAAGGCGGGTCAGTGAGAATCCAGTAAACTCGGTTTCGGTTCAGCTGTACGTGTTGCCGACCAGCTTGGCAACATGGACTGGAGCGAGAGTTTCAGAGCGGTGAGTTATTAATCTGTATCCATAAAGTTTTAACTGAGCTCTGTCTCTACATCACAGGAACAACTTTATGTCCACTGACTGCCTGGAGGGGAGCTGGTGTTTGGAAGGAGAGGAGAGCTGCGTGCTGCAGCTCACTGTTTTCCCACCGCTGTTTTTGAGGGCGTGTCGGAGTAGCTGCTAGGCGAGCGTTATATGAGGCGCATTTAGCTTTAGTTTTCTGTGAGAGTACTTTGGGCTTTTTCACTTTGCAAACCTATTACATGCACAAAAAAGGTATAGAACTCAATAAAGGAGAGGGAAAAAGGCAAAAAGCAGAATACCACCTCTTTAACTCCAGAAAAAGTACACCCTCACCTTGGCCTTCTCCTCTGACATCATGTAGAGCTCCTGTTCGCTCATCCAGGCCTCGGCCTCCGCAGCGTCGAAGTAGTACTGCTGGGCCTTGTGGGCCTCGCTGAGGCGGTCGTGCCGCTTCTCTGTCTCCTTCTTGATCTGTACCCACAGAGACTGGAGCTCGGCGAGCCGCTGACGAATCAGGTCTGCCGTCGGGCTGTCCTCCCTCAGGACGTGCTGGCTGCGCTCAAAGATGTCGTCGTAGCGCGGCTGATGGCCCTGGATCTCCTTCTGCAGCGTCTGCAAGGGTCAAAGGTCACAGAGAGGGCTTAGTAAGAGAAGCAACTGCAAGTTTCTTCTCAGGAACAGGAAATTTGCGGTTCAGTAGTTGATTTAATCAGCTGAAAATATGTGTTATAGAAGTTAAATATTCTGTGTATTCACTACATTAAAGTGATTTTCTTTCATATAAGAAGGTAAAGGTGTGTGTGTTTATGTACCTGGTTCTTCTTGATAAGCAGCTGTACAGTCTGTAGGTTGTGTCCGTGGTCGGTCGATGTGGCCAGAGGCATCCTCTCCTCAACCCAGAGCTGGAAACACACACACAAATTATACCATTTGTTTGTGTTGCATTGCAGTTTTGATATGAACATTGAGGCATGTTCTCCATCACTGCTGTGAAAATGTGAACCTGTCCTTTAAGGAGGTCACAAGTCAAAACTATTGGAAACACTGAATAAAGAATCCTAAAAACAGCTAAAAAGGCGAGTATTTTCTTTACCTGTACTTTGTAAATAAGAAGTAGTACCAAAAACAGAAATCTGCTAGTGTCAACTGACTCCACTTCCACTCTGAAACTTGTGGAAGAGAAACTCTGCTGTCAAACTGAAAGGCTCTGCAGGACGTTTACAGGAATCCATGAAGAAACACTGAGCTGTTTCTCCATCACTGCTGCTTAATGAACTAGTATTCCTACAACTACTACTGCAACTACTATTGATGCTACTACAACAACTAATAATACTCAAGTTGTAGACTTACTACTGCTGCTACAATTGCCACTAATACTAACACTGCAGTAATTGTTGCTGCAGTCATTATTATTACTACTTTCACTGCTCCACTCCTAAACTTATTCCTACTACCACTATTACTACAACTGCTGCTGCTACAACTACTGTTAATATTGCTATTGAGACTACTTTTACTGCCCCCTGTAATGCTACTAATGATGGTCCTGATACTGCTGCTACTAAAGGTCAGCGCTCTACCGCCGCTCTTGGACTCGTCCTGTCCGAGACGCTCTACTTACGATCTCGTCCTCCATGTCCCTGTTGAACTGGTGGATCTCTCGAGAGGCCATGAGGTTGTCTCGTCTCTTCTTCAGCGGTGCCTGGAGGAACTGGAACTTCCTCTCCACGCTGATCCTCTGGCCGTCCACCTCCTCAGAGCCTTTCCCCTCCTGACTGAGGGCCTGGGACTGGCTCTGCAGCTCCTCCACCTCCTTCTGACGCACCTCCACCTGGCTCTCCAGGATCTGCAGGAGGACAGTTTACAGGTCAGACAGGGAGAATGTGCTGCTGCATCAGTACAGATACATGTGTTGTAAAGTTAATATAAAATAAAAACGATTTACAAGAAATACAGGACAAATAATACATTAAAAAAAGTTTAAATCAAAAACAAAATGAATTTGAAATTCTTACAATGATTTATGAGTAAACTTAAATTAAATATATCTTTACTTATGGCCCCTTTGAGCTACAACCAGAGCTTTCAACCACAGCTTCCAGATGTATCAGCTGACCTATCTCCACGAGCGAACGCCATCTGGTGGAGAAGGCCGTCAGATGCGGTTGAAAACTCTGGGAAAAGTTGGTAAGTGGACCTTGAGTTGAGATTTTTTTCCCCTGTAAATTAGTAAAATTATATAATAGGATACAAATAAATGGGGGACAAAGATTTGAAGGAATACCTACAAAAATGTTTTTAAGATGTGCAAAATTGAAATAATTTAAATTAATGAAACAAAAAATTAACTATATAAAATAAAAAAGAACCACATTTAAATAAGGAGAAAAAACAGCTGCTACAAAGATCCTTCAGTTGCCTCATCTCATCTTCTCCTCGGCAGAGTAAAAATCTGTGTTAACCTCCCAAAAACGGTCTGAAATAAAAACCGTCTGATCCGTCTTTACAGAAGAAACAAAAAACACAGGTAGAGTCTGAGTTAATACTGGAGCAGAGAGGAAGAAGAGGAGGAGGTGGTGGAGAGGAATCGCTTCTGTCTTCTCTCTCTGCTTAACAGATCAAACACTCCGCTAATGATCTCCCTCTAACACTTACTCTCTCTCACACACACACACACACATCACTCAGACACAGTGCTGGCTTGAAACACATCAAATGAAAGATTACATAACTGCTGTGTGTGAGAGTGTGTGTGGGTGAATTATGTAAAGGGTGGTTAGACTACTCTTTCTCCTTGCATGACTGTAAACATGGAGAAATTACTGAAGAGGTTCCCTTCAGGAATTTCAGATCTCTGGATCACAAAAATGTAAATTGTTTTGCTGCAGGGCTACATTCAAATTTGACCATTCACTGTCAGTTTCAATAGAAAATAATTAAATGTAGAACCTCAATTAGGTGCCAAGGTAAAATTAAATAATATTCTGAAGTTTGTTTGGAGCCGTAAGTGAGAGGAAGATCCGCTCGACAGGATGAATTTTGTGCAAATATGTCCCCGAGTCTGATTTTAAAAGGCATTACATATTAATGTGAAAGAAAATGTTCCTTTAGTGCCATTTCTTCTCTTGCCGCTTGTCCAACAAGAGAACTGCATTCACCTACCAAAAAGCCCAAAACAGGACTGAGAGTCTGCGGTCGTGCTAGCAGCTGTGAAAGGCTGCACTAATATACAGAACAGTGCTTTTGGCTAAATGTTAACATGCCGATGATGACAATGCCAATATCCTGATGTCTAGCAGGTATAATGTTCATCAGCACTAAACACAAGGAGGCTGATGGGAAGGTCATTAGTTCCGCAGGATTTTTGGTCATAAACCCCAAATATTGGACTAATTAAAATGCTGACCTGAGGATGGCGCTAGATGGAAAGTCAGAGGATCGCTGAAGATATTACAGGTTATTCTGAGGGGAACATTTATGTCTGAACCACATCACAATCCATCCAACAGTTTTTAGTGAATAAATCCCCTGAATGTTTCGCCACATAGTGTTTCCCTTTGCTGAGCTGTACTCAGTGAGGGATACTAACACATACCCGTATGACCTGTCTGACTCAGACTGCTGACCTTCATGAGGCTCTTTAGAAGCCATTTTTACCAAAGACTGGATTTTGTCTTCCATCTCTTACAGGGCCAAACTTACTTATATACTAAATTAAGTACCAAAAACAGGAATGATAAACTTAATTCACCGTCCCCAGACTCCTTCGTTAATGGTATAAATGGTATTGTAGGGACGGCTGTGGCTCAGGAGGTAGAGCGGGTTGGCCGTTAATCGGAAAGGTCGGCGGGTTCAATCCCCGGCTCCTCCAGGCTGCATGTCGAAGTGTCCTCGGGCAAGATACTGAACCCCGAATTGCCCCTGGCGGCTGTTCCGCCAGCGTGTGAATGTTAGTTTCTGTTTGAGCACTTAGGCTCAGTGTGTGAATGTGTATGATGATGAATGCAGATGTAGTGTAAAAGCGCTTTGAGTGGTCGAAAAGACTAGAAAGGCGCTATACAAGTACGGAGCATTTACATTTAAAAAGTGTGAAGTTCCCCTTCAGGGTTCATCGTTTATTCACCTTCACTCTGAACCTTGTGGAAGTGAAACTCTGCTGTCAAATTGAAAAGCTTTACAAGACGTTTACAGGAATAAATGAATGAAGACAGTCAGTAAAAGACAGCTTAGTTATAACGACACAGAAAGAGCTTTCAAAAAAAACAACAACATCCTCGCCATACGCTTGTTAACGTGCAGTTCCTGTGAGGATCTGAGGAACCTTCGACCTTCCCCGGCTCCTCACCTGCTGTTTCTTGAGCATGATGTTGACGGAGGTGAGGTCTTTGCCGTAGTCGTCGGACTGCAGCTGTCCCTCCAGGCTGGCCAGCCACTTGTCGAGGTCGGCGCAGCTCTGGGCGAACAGCTCGGCCTTGTTGGCGTCAAACAGACACTTGGCCTTGGTCTGGGTGGTCGACTCCAGGTCCTCCCACATCGCCTTCAGGGACGCAAGCTTTTCTTTAACCATGGCCTCTGTCTCCGGTTTCTCTGCCATCAGCGCCTGCCCGTCCTGAAAGACAGTACTTGTTTTTTAAAACTCAGCTCTGATTAGCTAATGAAAGCTTCCTAACAGTATGTCTGCTTCCTAATATTAGACAACTAATCAGTTCATTAATCACTATCAGCACAAGATCAGGGCATCCTAAAGCATCTTAAGGCTAAGATGATCACAAAATCCATCTCATCAGCCTTCTTAAGCTTAGAAATGACGGAAGATTAATGAGATCCTGCAGGATCCTGAAGTTTGTATTCAATTTTAAGTCTATACTTTTAATTTGTATACGTGTTTTCCAATTTAAGTTCATGATAAGAGAGTTCAGAGATGTTACGAGTAACGTCTGCTCGACCAGCAGCTAAATCCACCAAAGTTTACTTTCTTAAACTGACGTTCACCCTGGAACATGAATAACATCTATATATTAAGCATAATTATTATTTTTATTATTTATTTATTTTTAAATCAAGCTTAATGAATTAACATAATAAAATATGCTTAAATAATAGAAAAGAAAAAGGAATTTTACTTTTGATATATTGTTGCAGCCATTCAGAAATTGTTCTGCTGGGCTGTTTTGTAGGAAGATGGTCAACTATGTTATATTAACACACTTTTTTATATACAAACACACTTTTAATCAGCAGCTCACGTCACATGACATCTTTGGTTAGTAGTGGTGTAAACAGTGCTCTGTTAAAACATTCAGTCATCGTTGACCCTGAATCAGCTGCAAAGAGGTAATGATGCTGCAGAGAACATTTGTGTCGCTGCATCCTTTCCTCCTCTCCTCCGTTCCCACCTTGTCGATCTTGTCCAGCCACTCCTTGTTGGACTGCAGCTCGGCCATGAAGGCCTGGTGTTTGAGCCACTTGCTGTGGAGGTTCCTGGCCTCGTCGTACGACATGTCCTGAGCCGTCAGCATCTTCTCATTGATCCACAGCGACAGCTGACGACACACAAAGAACAATTTACCTCAAATAAAAAGCCACAAACACCAGTACTCAGACTCTCCGCTAAGCCCCTGCAGGTAATCTGAAAAGTGTTTGTGGTTTACCTCCTGGCAGTCCTGCAGGAACTTCTGCAGGTCTCTGTTGTCCTTCAGCCTCGTCAACAGGTCGCTGGCAGCTGCTCGGTTCTTCTTGTGTCTGTAGAACAAAAGTCAGAAAGCTCTGAGCGGGTCGTTTTACCTATAGCCTTAAAACCTCCTGATCTTATTTGACTTTATTTTATCCCTTTTATTTTATTGTATTTTACTAATTTTATATTAAATTTTCATGCTCTTATCTTTTTTTTGTATTATTCTTTACACTTGTTAAAGCACTTTGTAACTTGTTTTTGAAAAGTGCTCTACAAATAAGGATTATTATTATTATTATTATTAAACGCTGCTGCAACCCCGTAAACAAATTTCATGTTTCAGATTTCCTACGCATGAGATCTGTAATGTACAAAAAATAATCTCATATCTTTACATTTTTACTTTGTCGGACCAGAAGAAATTCAAGCAAATCCACCCATTTGAAAAAGATTGAAGCACTAAGTGTTTGCTTAGTTGATTAAAAAGAATAATTTAATTGAATTAAAATGGTAATTTTTCACTCACCAGTCACTATGGCACAAATATATCACAACGATTAACACAAGTTCCCCAGACAAAGTCACTCGCTCACCTCTGGTCGATTGAGTCCACCTTCTCCTGGATGCGCTCGGCATTGATGTTGCCATCGGTTACCAGGCGCCGGCCGGTGTCGACCACGCTGCTGATCTTCTCCTCGTTGGCGTCCAAAGAGGTCATGAAGTCCTCCTGCTTCTTGATGGCGGCCTCGGCCCCCTCCAGAGTGGTGGGCATCTCAGTGTGAGCCAGGACGTACTCCTGACAGACGAGCACACAGAGGAGCCGTCAGAGTGTAATTATGAAGTGAAAGGTAGAAAAGAAACGTTGTAATTTGTGTGAATGTAGGCATTTACTTAATCTTTAGAATATGTGTTCTTACGTTTCTTTTTTACCTCACAGTGTGATTTGAAACATAGAAATACAAAAACTGTCTGAACATGTTGCTGTAATAAAGACCTTCTACCACTTGGTGGCAGCCTCTGACCTTCTCGTGGTGAAAAGGCAGAGATCCAGTTCTGGTGCATGGAAGGACCCGAGGTGAAGGACAGAAAGTCAACTGATCACAATTTCTCAGAGCCCACGCTGAAAATAACTGTCTTGTTTTGTCCGACCAACATTTCAAACCCAGAGATATTCAGTGAACAAAAGAAAGCAGGAAATCCTCCTGGATTACTTTTTTTGTACATCAATTAATCAACAAATTTGTTCTAGCTCTACTTCGATTCATTTTTTTAACCGCTTATCCTGTACAGGGTCAGATAGGGTTCGAGCCTATCCCAGCATGCACTGGGTACAGGGTGGCGTACACCCTAGACAGGAATACCGTGTGTGAAAGAGATCGTAATGCTGGACTGGACGAGCGCCCAGTGAGAGATTTATCTGCTGATCACAGTGAGTGTGTCTGTGTGTGTGTCGGTTCACTCGGTGGTCAGATCACATGATAAAAACCACATGAAATCCCATGTGCCTACTTCACACTACAAGATTTTAAGCCCAATTTGCTGGTCGGTGAGCTCGGCGAGCGTCGGGCACTGACGCACCGCAGACGCTGCCAGATATCTGGAGGAGTCGGCCGACTCGACATCCACATCCAGCCAATGAGAGCAGGCGGCTACTTTTTCACTACAGAACAAATTTTACTCGCCTCTCTCTGTAGCTCAGACGGTGTGTGCAGATCCTTTCTTTCATCCGTATTCTTTGTCTTTATAATTGGTATCTTTATAACAGTGGTTCTCAAAGTGGGGTCCGGGGACCCCCAGGAGTCCTTGACAGGGTCCCAGGGAGTCCCCGACAGGGTCCCAGGGGGTCCCCAGCAAAAAGGGGAATAATTTATTTTCACTATAATCCCATCCATTAGTAACACAGTAACTGAATGTATGACTATTTCTGGTCACGAGTTTCATATATTTTCTGTAATAAAACGTCTAAAAACCCCAATATCCTATCAGATGATCAATCTTGGGACAAAATCGTATCAAACTGTGGTCCGTGGTCTAATTTGTGTCAGTTAAGGGGTCCTTGATGTGAAAAAGTTTGAGAACCACTACTTTATAATAACAAACAACAGCTGTTTTGCGCGTGGGTTTACGTCTTTTCCCGTTTCACATTTCACGTGTGTTTCTTGACAAAACGCAGTTTGGAGACCAGCGTCGGGCGACAGAGTCGTCGTCAGCTGGTGTAGCGTGTGACCCCCGTCACCGATCAGTCACTACGACTTCAAGACTCCCGTCACTAGACGGCAAGTTGTGTAGTGTGAGCGGCCCGGCCATCTGCCGACGCTGAAGGTCGTGTAGTCTGCAGGAGCCTTTAACAGTCGGTGATCTGACCTGATTTGCCACTAAAGACATGATTATTGGTTTAAGGGAACACTGCAGGAAATAAATCTGTCTTCTCCAGAGGCAGATTGGAGGATGGATCTCAGTTTAATCTCTCTGCCTCCAGTAAAGAGAGAGGTTCATGTGTTAAGCCTAGCTTAGCTCAAGATCAGAAGTTGTGAGATGTCTGTGAAGATTCTCAGTCATCCAGGTCATAGTTATCCAACAAAGGGCTACTGGACTTGGTTTAAGATACTGGAAGACGTTTCGTCCCTCATCCAGAGGACTTCTTCAGTTCTGACTGACTGTTGTGGTTTTCCCTTTTACTGCAATACAATCAAAGTCAATAAAGTTTTTCCTCAAAATGTCAGGCTCTCAGTTAAAAATGTCCTGAATTGTATTTTGACGGCACAAAATATGGTTTAAGTGGGAAGATATTTAGGCTAAAATAAAGGACATAGGGATGTGTTTCTGAGCCTATCACACCTTGCTGTGGAGGCTGCTGCTGCCCGCCCTCAGCTCCATACAGGCTCCATCCCCTTTTACCTAAACTGGTTCCAAGTAACTGACAAAGAGGGCACAATGTAGAAGACTCGAGGATTGTAAATGTACTTGAGAATGCAGGCGACAACGTTCACGCTACAGACATGTTTTTCTGTAATCTGGGGTTCACACCTAAGCTGTGAAGACATCACAGGTTTACCTGGTTGTTCAGGAAGGCCTCGGCCTGCTTGGTGTCCCTGAGGAACAGCTGGTAAGCGTGGGACTGGGACAGCAGGTTCTGCCGGTTCTCCCACATCTTGTGCAGCTCGTTCCAGCCGGTGTCGAGCGCCTGCAGCCGCTGTCGCAGGAACATGTACTGCGCGTCCGTCTGGCCCTGCGTCACCATTTCGCCCATGTCCCGCATCTTCTGGTAGTCCTCCTCGTAGTTGTGGATCTCGTTCTTGATTCCCTCGTGCTGGGCCAGCAGCTTCTCGGCCTCGGTCAGCGTGTTGGGCATGTCCTCGGAGGCGATGGCCGTCTGCGTCCGCGAAAGCCACGACTGGAAGTCGTCCAGTTCGCGCAGGAATTGCTGCAGCTTGCTGGCCTCGCCCAGGGACTCCTCTCGGTTCTTCATGTGTCCTATAAACAGAAAACAGAGCGGTCGTATATTCACTGAGAAGTGGGGTTTGTTTCAATCACAGGACCTTTTAAACTCTGAACACAAAGCAATATTCTCTATGAAGATGTGTCAGATCTTAGATTGTACACAGATTTTACGTGCTCCTGATCTTAAACCGTGACAGATATTCTCTTACCTTCATCTCGTCCCAGACTCCCGTGATCTCTGCCAGTCGTCCCTTGATGGCCTCAGACTGCTCCGGGTGTTCTGAAGCCAAACGGTCGGCCTCTTTTCCCAGGTCGCCCAGCTTGTCTTCGATGGCGGCCAAGTCGCGCTCCATCCCCGTCAGCTTCCTCTGCAGAGCCATGACGCCGGCCAGGTCGTTCCCCAGCTCCTGGGTCGACTCGATCACCTAAAAGGCGGACAGGGAGGGAGGGAAGGAGTTAGACAAAAGTTTAAATTAAAGTTCAGCCTCCTCATTTTGCTAAACACCACGCTGATGGGACATTCTGAGCCTTCACAATGTCAAAATAAAAAAACGATTCTGCAGTTATAAGGACAAAGATTTCTAAGCGGGTTTGTGGGTGTTTATTTGTGATGGACATGGACACGGAGATAACGACATCCTCAGGAAGTCAAAATGAATCTAAAAATATGTGGGTTCAGATTTCAGTCAGTCACTGCTGCAGCTCCAACTGCTGACCGTGTTGGCAAGCAGCCAAACCAGCGACCACACCAACTTCCTGTTGTGTTTTAGCGCCGTTTAAAACCTGCATTCATCTGTTTGTTTCTTTCATCTCACACAGGACCTTTACCTCACGTCTCTCCCTCACAGTTTAAAAACACCGGCTGCAGTGGATTTAGGTGCTGTAGGAGCAGACTGGTTTTGTTCTGTTGGTACCTTGGTCTTCTCTTTGATCCAGGACTTGGTCTCGTTACACTCCAGGTGGTAGTTCTGGACGCCCAGAGCCGAGCTCAGACTTTCTTTCTTCTGGTCCACCAGATCTCTGAACTGACTCCATCTGGACGGACAGACAGAGACACCATAAGCAACAATATGAACTACTACTGACGCTTAACCAGGTACCTGCAGGGCGCGTTACCACTCTTTAATGTTTAATGAATTTATTTGGCTCATACTTAATTTACCTGTTCAGTCACAGTATTTTTACCTGTTTAATCAGTTTATTAAAAGTTTAGTTACTATTCAATCACTGATTTACCTGTTCACCTCCCTTTAGTTATTTTTCTAGATCCATTTTTACCTAGATTAAATACCGGATAATCACAGTTAATTTCCTTTTTTAATCTGAATTATTTGATTAATTCCAGTTTACCGTTCCTTTAAATCTCACTCATTTCAGTTTCCCCATCAGTGTCCATATTATTAGTCTCTACTCAGGTTAATTCTTTAATCCCAATTTGTTGCTTGTATTATAATTTATTACTATTATAATTTTTTATCATTATTATTATCATCATTATTATTACTTCTTTGCACTTCAATCTTTAACAAAATTTTATTTTAACAACCTGGGTAGTCAGTTTACATTCCCGCTGAATACTTGTTTGTTCACTTCTTAATCTGTTTATTTACATATTAAAAAACAGTTTATCTCTTTTTTTTAAACCAGATTTATGAATCTGTTTGATTGCCCCTTTATATTGCTTTGAAGTGATCTTACATTTTACATTTGTTACTTGTTTAATACAGGTTTAGTTACCTTCTTGATAAATTGATGTACTTTATATTAGTTCCCTGTTTAATCCCAGGTTGCCTGATTATCCCCCATTAATGATCACTGTTTAGTTCCCTTTGTAATCCTAGTTGTGATATCTGCTTAATCCCAACAAATTACCTGATTATGGTGTGGTGAAACAGCTAAATTATTCATTTATTCCCAGTTGCATGTACAGTTGGCGCTAAATAACCTGTTAAGTCATTTCCCCTCTTGATCCAAGTTAGATTTCCCCATTTAATCCCAGTTTATGAGCTGCTTTGATGCCAGTTGGATTACCTGGTGTTTAGTTTGTCCTGCTTGGCTTTGATCTCCTTCTCACTGGGGTGTCCGCTGTGGATCAGCTGCCTTGCAACCTGGTTCACCACAGCAACACGGGACGCCTGGTTGTTCATCTCCGGCTCCAAACTCTCAAACCTGGACAGAGACGGCAAATTCTGACTTTCATATTTTATAAAGTGGCAAGTTCTGTCAGTAACACCTCATAAAAAGACCTAAACCTCGCCAGTGTGTGCTTTGTTGGACATGTTGGTCATGTTGAGAATAAATTAACTTTGTTTTGGTGCCTTTCTGCTCTTTTATTACTGTGGGCTCGATGTGTGGAGAGCTGACAGGAAATTAGGAGAGAGCGCGATGAGGAAACAAAAGTTCCCAGTCATGCTCAAACCAGAGACGTTGCAATTAAATGTTCAGCGTCTTGAACTCCCACAAGAAAACAAACATTTGTATGTGTTCAACACCTACAAAAAACAGGTTTGATGTTACTGTCAGGACCAAACATATAGTTTCAGGTAAACGTGAAGTCTAGAGCACGACAGATATTTGATTTTTGATGGGGATAACTATATTTCTACTGATATTCATGTCTTAAACACAAACATGTTTTATAATGATCCATTTAATTTAGTTTTTAAGTAATTGTGAAATGGGGTGAGAGGGACATTTTGCAGTGTAAAAATAAGACATTTACTGTGACTTATTGGCCAATAAATACACCGATATTCATAGATCTGGATTAGGAAACAAAGATCTGACAATGTGTCGGCCGGGCTCTGATTGGGAAGCAATTAAGATGCTCAAATATAATAAATTCAACAGGTTTCATGAAGCTAATGAGAGAAAGAAAAAGGGTTTTGGTAAGTGTGAAGATAAGTGATCTCATCTGCTGCTGCTGATGTAACACACACACAGTTAACCAGCGTCTGGGAAACGATCCATGTGATGCTTTGCGGTCGGACAATATGGAGAGACAAGTAGCTGAAAACCAGAGTCAGAGGCTTTTGTGAACGAACTGTGTAACCACAGTCCAAACACACACACACACACACACACACACACACAGCCTCTTAAACAGTGTGGAACCTGCAGTCTGGTGTAAATAACAGTTTACTGCTGTGGTTCCCACAGTCTGACTGTGACCGTCTCTGCTGCAGCATCCAGACAACAACCAGGACAAAGTGACGGAGTTAAAGCACCACACTGCTGCTCTTACACATTTCAAAAACAAAAGATTTCTCTCATTATTATTACTATCAAAGATGGCACCATGCAGTAAACTACACTCTCTGGTTCTCACCGGTGCTGGACGACCTCCAGGTCCTCCAGTTTCTCAGGGATCTCCATGCTGTTGAGCCACTGCTCCTTCTCGTCGATCCAGACCTCGCAGGCGCTGGCTTCACTCAGCATCTTGTAGAGAGCCAGAGCGTCCTGCAGCGCCTGCTTCCTGAGCCGCGTCAGCTCCACCACCTCCTTATAACGCTCCTCGATGCCCGCCAGCCTGCTCTGAACCTGCAAACACACAAAGGCCATCAGCAGACCAACAAAAAACAAACATTCAGTCTAATACTTCACATGAAGGAATAATGGACCTCAGAATGATTTTTACATTTAACGCTCCTTTAGGGTATAAGAACAAATTGTAATACAATGATTCAGATCTCTTCCCAGCTCTGTCAGAGTTGTACCTCCTCAGAGTTGGCCTTCTCGGGCGGCAGCGTGCGGGACTGTTCGTGCAGAGCGTCGATGACGGGTCGGTAGCTGCCGATCTCCTCGGCCACGTCCTTGTGTTTCTTCACCAGAGCCTGAGTGGAAAACTCGTCGTGGCCGACGTCCACGCTGGAGACGATCCGCAGCACGTCCAGCATCCACGTGTCGATGTCGTCCGCATCGGCCTGCGTGGAGGAAATAAAAAAATTATTTATACTCCTAGCTGTGACAGATGTCGTAATTTTTCCTGCAAACAGAATACTGTTTGGTTCTTTTCTGGATTTGTTTTTGTAGCCTGAGCTGAAAATGAATAAATTCTTTTCAGTTGCATTTTTTCCCCCACAATGTTTCTCCCGATGTCTGACCATAAAATAATAATTCTTCATTTTTTTCTAGGAAACAGCAGTAAATATTTCTGTCTCTCTGGCTGCTAGATAACTAGGAAGACTCGCACAAGGCGGAATACACACCGAGACAGCAAATGAAAAACGTAGCTTTGTGCTTTCAAATACAATCAATCAATTTCTACTAGAAACTATGAAAAATGTGTTTTCACCTGGAACTGGTGCTGGTTGCAGGCCTCCTGCAGGCGAGCTTTACGGACGGCAGAGAGACGCTCCAGAGCTGCCCACTGTTCCTAAAGCGCAGCGAGAGGAGGGGGGAGGAAAGGGTAATAGTAACTTTGACTCTGGATGTTTGAGGAAGGATTTACAAAGGTGACTAAAGAGACTCAAGGTTTATATTTTGATGTAAATGGTACAACAAAAAAAAAGAGCACATGAATGTTTACAAAAGCAGAGGATTTTATACAGAGCTGACGGTAAAGGAGACACTTTATAGTTTTATTAATCAAATATGGCTGCTGTGACCATTTCCCTTCAAACACAGCCAAAAAAGCCAAAAAACAGGATATGTATCACAATTCTTTAATTTCAAAATAAATGCTGATGTAGTCAGTGGTAAATATCCTTGAAGACTATATGCATAAAAAATAGCCTCGTTAGATCCATTTCCACTGGACAAGTAAACCTACAGTCGTGTGCTGAAAAGACCTCTGAAGACGTAATGAAAGGCACATTTTTTAGTCCTTTACGGTTTTATTTTTAAGCTTCCTCATACAGGTGAAAGTCCTGGTACAGGTGCAGCGTACCTGGATGTCCTGGATGCGTTCTTTAATCTTGTCGGCTCCAAAGTGGTTGTTGGCCACCAGCTCCTCGCCCTGTTTGATGGTCTGCTGCTGGAGGGCGGCTCGCCCGCTCATCTCGTCTTCGAAGGCTTTGTGCTGACTCAGCAGTCGCAGCGCTCCCGTTAGATCCTTCCCACAATCCTCGGAGGACAAGATCTGTTCTTTCTCCCGGATCCAGCCCTCCTACAAACCGCACATTACATTTGGTCACTTGGTTGCAGCACTAAAGCACAGAGTGAAGTGATTTAAACAAAGATCTGCAAAATGTGATCTGCAGTGTCTGACAGAAACAGAGAACAAACTAAGATGTTTTTCATTTACTGCCTGGATAACCAATAATTAAGCACAATAAAAGCAATATTAATGACCTCTTCGGCCATTTCCCAGAAGAACTTCCAGAGGCGACGGGACTCCTCGAGGCGAGCTCGCCGCTCAGCTGCCAGCTGACTCAACTCCTGGTAGCAGAAGTCCATGTGAGCGACCCGATCCCTGATGATCTGAGGATCGCAGGGCTTATAACCTGAGGAGGAAGAAGAGGAGATGTGGATTGAGCAGGGCAAAGACGAGAGGAAATATCACAGATTTCTGTCTGAAGGAACATCAGCTAAGAGCAAACCATCCGTCTGTCTCACCGTCCATGTCATCGGCGAACTTCTGAGCGTTGCTGTTGACGTTTCGGACTCGGTCGGCCTGGATGCTGATGTCGGCCTCCACCAGAGCGTGTTTCTGCAGAAGATCCTCCACGCCCAGCAGGTGTTTCCCATAATCCTGAGAGAGCAGCAGCATCTGCAGGGAAAGAAGCAAGGGCCAAAGGTCAAAACATCTTCTAATGAATAAAACACACGCATTGGATTATTAGATTATTTTTAGGTGTTAATTCAGTTTCTATGCTGCATTTTGCAGCAAGTCACTGGATACAGAAAATCTGCTGGATCGCTTTACAGCACAAAAGAGACGGAGGGCAGGTGGAACTCATCAAAATCTCATCAAAATTTAAACCAAGTTAAACTTGATCTGTCCCCTCACTGTGAAACCAAAGATGAATCACATGTTGTGTCATCCAAAAGAATAACTAATTCTTTTATGATTAAAAAAAATTAATCACTTTAAAGTCGTCTTTCTACAGTTGAAGGTTCAGTATTTGCTCTGCTCTGGCATTCTTCAAAATGTTTCAGTAGTCAGATGTGTTTCAGTTTCACAACCAAGTCAAACTTTATTTCCCTGAAACCTTCCTTTGCTCTTAACACTGAACAAAATCTTCTCCCTTTATCCAACATAGACCAAACCTCTCAAATGCATCAGTGTGTTTAACAAGAACTCAGCTCACATATAACACAGTTGAAACATTTAAAATCTGGAAAAACTAGGAACCAGACAAGATTTTAGCCTCAACTACAGACACGTTTCAGTCTGACTGGTCGCCGCCTCCCTACCTTCATCTCGTCCATCCAGTCCATGATGTAGAGCATCTCCTGGAAGACTCTCTGCAGGCCCAGGGTCAGCTCCAGTCTCAGCCTTCGGGCCTTCAGCAGCTCTAGCAGGTACTCCCACAGCCGGATCACGTTGTCCTTCCTGGCCGTGATGCGCTTGATGTCGTGGTAGTTCTCCGCCTCTAGCTCCTTCGCCACTGCAACCACCGCCTGCAGCGGTGAGAGGGGGGAGGAGGAGAGCGAGCAGAGGGAGGGATGAATGGACAACCAAATGTGTCAGATTTCACAAACAGTGAAATTCTTTATGAAACAAATATGAACCTTTTTTTTTATATAAAAACATTTAGCCATCTTAAACATATTCAATATTCATATTCACCATGACATGAAACAGAATTTTCATGAAGAATCCATGAAGGTTTTAATCCACTGTATTAAAGTTTACACCCATCTCATCGTGGTTTCAGGGCTTAGATCTGTGCCAGCAAGGTTTCAGTGTTTGTACTTATTTAAATCGATGTTGCCATCTGACACAAGCTTGTCCTTTCTAATTCAACTCCTGTCAAATAACAATCCAGGTGATGAATTTACCTGAACTCGCTCCTCATAGGCTGCGATGTCCGTTTCTATGGCTTCATGTTTCTTAGTAGCAGCTTCGACAGCCTGGAGGTCAAATCCAAAGTTATCCTGGAGGAGGACAGGGATGAAACAAGGACAGGAAGCAGGAAAGGAGACAAGCAGAGGAAAAATTAAAGGAAACAAGGAGAGGAGAAAGGAAAGAGAAATGGACACAAGCAGAGGAAAGGAGACAAGGACAGGAATAATGAAAGGAAAGAAGAATGAGAGGAGAAAGGAAAGGCGGCAAAGAGAGTAAGGGGAAAGGACACAAGGGGAGTAGAGAGGAAAGAGAAATGGAAACAAGCAGAGGAAAGAGGAAAGGAAACAAGGGGGTGAGAGAGGAAGGAGAAATGGAAACAAGCAGAGGAAATGGTAAAGGAGACAAGGAAAGGAAGCAGGAAAGGAAACAAGGAGAAGAGAAAGGAAAGAGAAATGGAAACAAGCAGAGGAAAGGAGACAAGGACAGGAAAAATGAAAGGAAAGAAGAAGGAGAGGAGAAAGGAAAGGCGGCAAAGAGAGTAAGGGGAAAGGAAACAAGGGGAGTAGAGAAGAAAGAAAAATGGAAACAAGCAGAGGAAAGAGGAAAGGAGACAAGGACAGGGAAAATTAAAAAAGACAATAGGAAAAAGTAGAGGAGAGAGGAAAGGATGCAAAGAACGTAAAGAGGAAAGGACACAAGGGGATGAGAGAAACGAAAAATTAAAAACAATGAGGGGAGAGAGGAAAGGAAAACAGAAGAGGAGGAGAGAGAAAAGGAGACAAGATGAATAGAAATAAGAGAAAACACAGACCGGTAAGAGAAAGAGAAACAAGAAGGAAAGAGGACAGAAAATAAGGAGAGGAGAAATGAAAGGAAACAAAGGTATGATAGAGAAAAGGAAACAAATGCAGGTGACAAGGAGGAGGAGAGAGGGGAGGTATACAAAGGAAAGATAAAGGAACATATGGACATATTATCATTTTGTTAGACTTGTGTGAAGCGAAATGTGAAATGTTTTGTAAACTGTAAGAAGAAGGTCAAAAGAGAAGTGTGTGGTACCTGGGAGACCAGCCTCTGGTTCTCACTCAGCCACGTCTCCCTCATGGCGGCTTTGCGGTCAAAGCGTCGGGCGAGCTGCTCCAGTTTCTCCTGACGAATCAGCTCCGTCCTCAGAGCCAGCTCCCGCTCGTGCTCCGCCTTCTCCAGGCGCTCCCATGCCTAAAACAAACACACACGGAGTATCAGCAAACTTAAACACTGGAGTAAAATTAGTAGAGGTTTAGTCTATTTACATGGTAACAATAAACCAGTTTCCTAAATTAGATTAAATTAGTACTAATTATAGTAAATGATGACATCACATCAGGTGCAGTTACCTTGTTGATGTCAGAGATGAGTTTGCCCTCTCGGGGAGTGTAGACTTTCTGGTTGTTGGCTCTCATCTTACTCTGGATGGTGAACAGAAGAACCTCCAGGTTTCCCTTCTCTGTGAACCTGCACACACACAAATCATAAAATTAGTTTTAGTTTGAGACATTTGGTTTAAGTGTCTCATTTAATGACACTTGAGTTGACAAAATAATGGAAAAACCTGTGCAATGTTATGACGTGTCACACGACACCCGCGAAAAATCAACGCAAAACTTGAACTACCTCTTGCACCATGTGTTTGTCTCCCCTCCTCAGTCACAAAGCACAAGCTGTCTGATTTTGCGTGCAAGTGGCTCAACAAAGTGAGCCAAGTGTTTTACTTAAATGTCTTTTTGTGAATGTTTTGTGTGAAATTCGTACAAAATCAATTTTATTGTTGAAGCGTGATGACGCTGAGGAATGTTGTGTTAAGGTTTACTTTATGTGTCAGAGAGATGTGAGTGATAAGTCAGCTCCAAAGAAAACTAAAAGCAAGGTCTGAACTTCCACCATGATGACAAAAAGCCATGTTTTCATTTTCAGATCTGCTCATTCCAGGAAAACATCATCTGCAATTCTGCTCTGATTCAGACTCTGCTGCAAACTCTGTTGTTTCGTTATCCTCCTACAGGCCGTGTGGAAGGAAAACTGTGGTTTTTTACACAGAAGTGGCTCCTGGGTGATGAGTAATAAACTTTGAAATATCTGGTGCACAGAAATACTTGGTGGATGCATGAACCATTTTTTGTCAACAAATAGTTCCAACTCCCCCTAAAACCACACAATGTTTTTTTTCCCTCTCTGTTTGGGTACAAATTACTCAAACGAGATAAATCATGTTAATCAGTGCTGGTAGTTGTATCTTTGAACTTCGGACAGAACCTAGAGGACCTTAGCTGTTTCCCTCTGCTTTTAGTCTTTATGCTAAGCTAACCAAACCACTCCAGCTCTGTAGTCAGCAGACATGAGATTGATGTCCATCTGAATATCTTACTCACAGAAAGAAATTGAACAAGGATATTTCCCAAAATGTAACTACATTCACTGACTTTGGTGGTTTCTCCACGGTGCGGTAAGTGTTGAATGCCTGCAGCTGCTGCTGGACTCCCACCAGAGAGTTGGCAAACTTCCTGTTGTTGAGGATGATGATGGTCTGCTCGATCCACTCCAGCAGGTCTGACGCCAGAGACTCGTACTTCTCAATCATCTTCTCCGTCTCTATGGCGTTGTCCAGAACCTGGAAGACACACCAGAGGAAACATGTTCAATAAAACAACAGCCCGTCTGCTGAGGTGAGAATATATCCGAGGTGATGGTAGGACGATGGTCACCTTGCCGATTCTCTTCCCCTCCACCTTCAGCGCCTTCATCTTTGAGAAGTAGTGGTAGTAGGTCACCACGTAGGTGATGATGGACTTCTCATCAGGGTGGTCCACGCTGATGTCTGCACATAACCACACACAAAACGATTGTATCAGAGTGCATACCTCATGAAAATGCAGCTCTGTGTGTGTGTGTGTGTGTCTCCTCTCTCACCTTCGGGGTCCAGCAGCTTGGTGAGACCCAGGTGTTGCTCGGCCAGGTTGAAGGCATTCTGCAGGTTGTAGTGAGCGTTTGATTTCTTCAGCTTATCAAAGTCGATCAGGTCCGGTCTGAAGAGAAGAATAAAAAAACTAATCATAACAGAAACTGAGAGGTTAAAAGGCCAGGTTCAAGGCCATAGCCTCAATTTTAGGAATCCTTCATGTCATGAGTTCCCCTAGGTTCCATCTATCGTCAACCGCTTATCCCGCGTACAGGGTCAGAGCCAATCCCAGCTTTTTGGACAGGTTCCATCACAGGGCGAATATTTTTTTATGTTTTATTTATTTGTTAACATTTGTACTTTCCAACAGGTCTGCAGTGGGGATTTCTCCACAGCCTTCTCAACACTGCGGAGAATAAAATTCTGGTGAAAACTTTAATTATTTATTATTGTTTGGCCTAAAATGTTTTGATGAAACCCACAAATTTATAAAAGGAGGAAAAAGAGTAGGTATGGCTCTGATGAAACACATCCTCCAGTTGACGCTCAGCTTTAAGAAAATCTTTTCTCCTTAACTTATATTCCCCAAACATTTTCAATTTGAATACATTTCAAAAGGTTTTCCTCTGGGGTCAAAATCCTTTCTGTTTCCTGTCTTATTTGGCTGCTGTGACCTAAAACCTCACTATTGGTTGCTTGTAACGCTGGGGACAGAAGATTAAAAGCCTTGAAAGAGGGGGATGTGGATGGATGACTAAAATGCAGCTGTACTCTTCAAGTCAAACACAAAACCGCAACCAATCTTTTTTGTTATCTGCTGCGCGTCTGTTCTGAATATGCGTTTTATTTAGTTTAAACATAGTTTCCTCAATGTGGTTTCAAGAAAAACAGTCTGCTGACTGATCAGCTGAGACACTGCAGTTATAAAAGAAAAGACTGTGCAGCAGAGTGGATGCTGGCGTTTCTTGTGTTTGTGGATAAGAAGGTAGTTTCTCTTTAAAGAAAATTTTGTATGCGTGGAAATCCTTATGTGACTAAGGCAGCTGTTTCTCATGGCATCATTTTTTGTCACTACGCAAGAAAAAAAAGAGAAAAGGGTGGGCACAGTGGATAAGACGCCTGCCTTTGGTTGTGAGAGACCACTGTGAGACACCACTGTGTCTCTGAGCAAGACACTTAACCTCTAGTGTCTCCAGAGGCGTGCGACCTCTGACATATATAGCAATTGTAAGTTGCTTTGGATAAAAGCTTCAGCTAAATTAATAAATGTAATGGAAACGTAGAAAAGTTTTGGAAACGTTGGAAATGTTTTAGACAATATTCTGCCTGCATGAGAACAAAGAAATAAAAAGGACTTTAATGAGTAACATCACTGGCTAAATTTAAAAAGAAGTTAGTAGAAAAAAGTGATCTGCTGTGCTGTTGCTACTTTTTACTGTCGGCCAGCTTGTTTTTTGGTGCTGGAGTTCAGTTCTCCGCAACGTTTGCCAACGTTAGTCTGTTGGTGATGTTGTATGATTTAGTCACACAAAAGTCTGTGGTTGAATGTGCTGTGTGATGAGGCAGAGTTCCTACCTGTGTTTGTGGATGAGAGCGTTGAAGGCCATCCCGTCTCTCCAGCTGGTGCTGAAGTTGTGGATGTTGACGTTTGGATATCTGGACAGAAAGAGGAAATCACAGCTCAAAGCGACAAAAGTGTGACCATCACTGAGCAGACTATCAGACTGTTTAAGCCTTTCTTCTGCATTTCAGTGGGTGAGATTAAAGTCACGCTTTTCTTCCACAGCAAACAGAATTAAAGCTCTCAGAGATTCTAGTGAATGGTGGAAAAGGCTGATAAAGGCTGGTTTATCCACTTCAGGGAGAGGAACAGGAGGTGATGGGGCTGGTGGGAAATGTAGGCTGAACTCTGGAGAAACACTAAAACAGTGATTCTGTAGACGTAAGAAAATAATTTTTAAACTCGTGTAGATTCTCACCCGGCTGTCTTCATCTGACACCAGAGCAGCAGAGCATCTTTGGCAGACTTCTTCTCCTTGTTGTCTTCTGTCTCCACACTGATGTCCTGGATCTGAGACACACAGACAGAGGAAGAGCTGATGATGATGATGAGAAACAGCTTAACGTAAAATATGTAATTTACTAACTGATGCGCTTTGTTCGTAATCATCTTTTTGAGACACTTAAGATTAAACTTTATTCATAACATTTGACGGTTGATTAAAAGCAAAGTAAATACATTTTTCTACTGGAATGCATATAATATGCATAATAGCATGAAGAGGGACTGACAATTTAACTTTACAAAATGTATAAATTTATAAGTAATAACCTCTTATTATTTAGGTATTTGTCATATGTAAATCCCTGCTGCTGTTACAGCTCTAAAACCTGAAGTTTTAATGTTTGCTTTGTGTTTGATATTTAACATGTGTGTACAGAAAGCTTAGCTTTCACAGAGATCACGGTAGCAGTAAACAAACTGAATTTTCCCAAGTTGATGCTTTTAACTGTTTTTTCCCCCCAAGGCACTTGAACGTAGCATTAAACATTTTTTTTAGAGCAGATCAAAGTAAACATGCACCAACATGCAAGACTTTACAAGAAAATCCAAAACGAGACACATAAGATGATCAAACACATCATCACACACAACTTTCACTAAAGTCGAAGCCTTAGAACAGCTCGCTGAAGAACGGTGAGAAATGTCCTCAGTCACTATCATCAATATAACACATTCCTATCATCAACACACACATCTGCACTTCTATACTTGTGCTAATGCATTCCTAAAAACCTAGCCTTAACCTAGTTCTTACTATAACCGTAAAAAAACAACTGTTAGCCCTTTCAAAGAAAATAAATCTAAAAATATCCTCACTTTCTAATGATGTCTTCAGTTTTTAAAAAAGTCCTAATTTCTCAAAAATTGCTTCCCTTTCCAAAAATGTCCACGCCTTCTTAGACTGTCCTCACTGTGCGAACATGTCCCCGCTTTCTAAAAACTTACTCACCTTCAGGAAATGTCCAATTTTTCCCCTCAGTTTACAAACTCTCTTAAACTCTAGTAGGTCCCTCGCAAAGATCTCTCCAGAGAACACACACACATGCTCAGCTTCATTGATTGACATCCACCAGTTTCAGTCTGACAGAAGCGTGAGCCACAAATCAGCAACATCAACACCACCACACATCACACACAACACACACACACACACACACACACACACACTGTAGTCCTTCTGTCAATCTGCACTCGGCTCCGTTTCAGCCTCGCTCCTACACTGCAGGATTTAAAACCACTAAAAAGAACTTTTAAATCCTCACGGCTTATAAACGCTAAATCCTTTTCACCCATTTTCCCAACTGTTCACTGTCCCTAACGATGACATCATCATCCGAGAGACACGACAACCCCATCAACATACAGTAAAATGACGTTATGAGTGTTTTTGAGTGTAACTTCTGTCATTTAATTTATTAATTGAGATCAATGCATTTGAAAAGGATAAAGAGACATTTGCAAGGTGGAGGAGCAGTTTAACGCTCATCTCACTTTAAACATGAACTGAAAATGTCCAAATAACAGTAAAATACAAAGTCTGACAACTCGTAAGCTTTCTGTAAATGATTAAAGATTTAGCAATGTCACATTTATTAGGATTATAAAGGATTTAACACTTCATTGCATATCTGCAGAAAGTGTGGAACTTTAATTTTCCTTATACTAAAAGGTATTTTTAATATTTTTTCCAGTCCTGTTTATGTCAATGAAGCTGCTAACAACAACTAAGTGAAAAGGAAGACTAAGAATTTCCGCACAGTACATCACAACGATTATATCTGTGCTATTTTGCATCCCTTCTGAGTAAGCGACTCATTAACTCGACATGCAGTACAACGTCTGTACATGAGAAGCCTACTACTGTATTTCGACAGGAGTATATTGCAACTCTCCATGTGCATTTTAGTCATTTTGGGATCCACAATAGTGATGCAGCCCATTGTCTTAAAATGGAATCCAATGATCCAGTTGGCCACACTTGATTGGTTTACGCTGACCATACTGAACTCACTTATTACATTTGGGATGCAAAATAAGTATCATTGCAAACATTTATTTATATTATAAACATATACTTATTTTGGCTTTTCTGTACAGAGTATAATGATCCAGATGACACACATTAATGACAAGTTCATTAAGTGTTCATCAAGTGTTTCCCATACGTTCGTGGCAGCCCCTCACAATATCAACCCTGACGCAGCACATCCTCTCTTGGTCGTCTGGGATGCAAAATAACAGTAACAGAAAACCATTAACTAAAAGTGAAAGGTAACAGCCACCAAGAGGAAGAAGTAGAACACTCCTTAATTTGAATGTAACTTGACAATGTGTATTTTATTAATTTAGGGACACAAAATATAAACATCATTTATGTCCCATCTGAGTTCCAGATTTGAACATTTGTTGGTGTAATTTTTCCACTGTTTCTAAGATACAACAAGATCACAGTCACTGATTTACTATAAAAAGATTACGGCCTAGATGGGGCCCAGAAATGAGGAGACTGACTCTATTTTGGGATACAAAATTGCGCAATGTCTTATCACCTGAATATGGAAGGAGATGGAGGACCAAATTAGCCACATCATCAGTACGGTCTTCTGATTTCATCGGATGAGTAAGTTTACCTCATTTTGGGATGCAAACTTGTGCGTCTGCCCCTTACCTGGAAACGAAGGATGATGGTCCAGATGAGCCCCAGAGTGAGGCGGTGGTTTCCATCTACGATGTCGTGGGAGCCCATGTTCTCCAGGTGAACCCTCTGCTCCTTCAGGAACTGCAGAGCCTTGTCAACGTTCTCCAGACAGTGGATCCGCATCCGACCCTTGGTGGGTTTGGGCTGAAACAAAAACAAATCTCTGTTTATTTACAACCTTCAAAAACCAGGAACCGTGAACCGCTTCATGCTGTCATATAAACATGAAGAAGAAGAAAACAGCTGCGGACACAGCTGACCAGTTTCAAAACCGACACTTTTTGTTTTGATAGTGTCCTTTGCTGAGTGAAAGTGGGTTTCACTATGCAAGAGAACAACTTTTAATACACTTTATTACTAAATCATAATCTCAAAGGATTTCCTAAATACAAACATCCAGAAACAGGAAAACATTTGTTAATACTTGAAGCAATAAATGTCCAAAAAAACTAATTACTTACATGCATATTAGGAAAACTACAGCCATGAACCAAATGTTACAGAACACTGAGCTTACATTGTATGAAATTTGCTATATAAATAAATTTAACTTGACTCATATTATTATTACTAATAATCTGGAGAACAGATGATCAAAAGCTGGTATGATTGTTGAATTTTTATGTTTTTTAAATGAACCAACTTTGTCTCAAAAACCTGAATAATAAGACGGGAAGAAGACCGATCCTTTACCTTTGATTACTATTGTAGGTTACAATTACATATACTTTAACAGTCATTTCAGAATTGTGTTGCACATGTGAAGAGCTGAAAATTGGATTATTCCAGTTTCATGAAAAGGCATTGGGTTTTTTTCGGTTTGAACATGCATACCTTCTGGATCCGATTCATCCTGTACATAGTTTGTAACCATCACCAAGCTCTGTGAACTCTACAGATGTGCCAAACCCAGGGACAGTCGATCTGTTATTTTAATTCATCTACAACTTACAACCCCTCAGAAAGCCCATCAATATAGTCAGACATTTTAATTTTGAGCAGAGGACATTTTTAATCTTCTACCCTGCCAGTATATCACCATGTACAGACCTCATATTACAGTTATTGACAGGTCCTGTGTTATTTTAATTCTACCGTATATCCTAGTCAGTGGTAATTAGCCATTTGACGTAGTTTGTTAGTCAAAATAAAGGAGGCTTTGTTGCTCTCATCTAAGAAATCATGTGGGAGACTTAGTTTTGTTCTTAAAGATGCTGAGAAATAAGAAAAGAAAATCATGTTGTGTAGGTGGGATAATTGGTGTCTACAAACAAATAGAGAAAGAAAAGTGAAGCTGCTGTGATAACAGACAGGAAGTGTTGGCATCACCTCCTAGTGTCAGTGAGGTTTTCCCCTCAGACAGCGACTGACTGAAAGATGATGAATGAAGAGGAGTCAGATAATATTGTTATTATTACTACGGTGGAGAGATTTTCTGGGCGATTTAAAACTGTGATAACCTACTTTACTGTAGAGCTTCTGTGCTACGTCAGACAGATGTCTGACACCTCTGCAGTTACGCAACAAAACCACCAATGAACAGCAGCAGCAACTCAACTGAAGGTGAATGCGACAGGAAAGCCAAAAACATCGAGAGAAAGGATATCCAACAGGGTTTTTAGTTAGAACATCAGTCTACATTACTGCCAGAGGTGGAAGAAGACACTTTATTTAAGTAAAAGTACTAATACAACAATGTAAAAATACTCTATTACAAATCTGCATTAAAATTTACCTATAATATACCTTTAGTATCAAGATAAAAGTTACACATAAGGAACCTGTTTAGTATCATACTGTCATATTTAATAATACTGTATTAGTGTTACAGTGTTAGTAGTTACAAAAGCTAATTTATGGTTCACCTGTTTATTAACCAACCTCTGTATTATGTCTGTGTGATACATGAAGGATTTAAGCCACAGGATGTTCTGGAGGCGCAGACAGGGAGGAAGAGCAGTGATGCAATTAACACGGGCCTAATGGCAATAAAATAGAAATCTATCTGCTCAGTATCTACCTCTAAACTGACTTCCACTTCTTTCAGTCTGTACTGGATAAAACATGTGACCAGCTGGTGATTATCAAACTAATTTCAGCCTGTTACTTTCTCTCCTCTGCTTGTGTGGGGAGTTTTTCCATTCGCATCCTGAGTTTGACTGATGAAGCAGTTTGCGTTCACTTTCCCCAGCAACTCTGATTCATTAGCGCAAAGTGAACGTATGATGTGATTAATATTGCACCTCTGCTCTTTTTCCTTGAAGGTTCATGTTGTCTTACAAACAATGTTTTAACTTTAAAGCAGCTATAATGTATATTTAAATAATGACAATGTGAAAACAATGTCACAATATGCTGCGTCTCTCTAGCAGCGATAAAGCTGCAGGGAATAATAGGTTAAATCTGCAGCTTTTGGCTTTATGAAAACTTTATAGTGACTTTTAGCTAATTGTTTATCCGTCCAGCTGCAACTTTACTGGTTCACTCTCAGCGCTCTCACAGCATCGTGATCAGAGAGGATGTGGAAATAAGAAACATGTTCAACATGTCAATTTAAAAGGTGATGATATGTCAGTGTAGTGTTCACTACTTGTTTCTGCTGACCCCAAGTGGCCAAACGGTTCTTGTATTGCAAGTAATGTATTTTGCAAAAACTTGAAAAGTTCAAATTTTTAGCCGTTTTGTTTTTGTTCTGATTCTTTCTTTCTTTCCTCCACTAAAAGTGTTTGGGCAGCAAAAACTGCTAGATTGCTCATCGACCTCATGGTGGCGCTATAACAATCAACTTTACGTTTTTGCAATTATCAATAATAATTATTATTAAAATTCTTCTGCAACCTTATCACTTTTCACTAAAACCTACACTTGAAAAACGTTTATACTTCGTAATTCGCTGCATGTATTCGTACAAAATACGGTTTGTACGATCTAGGGTCACTGATTTTAAAAACTTGGTAAAGATTGCTCAAAGTGGGCGTGGCTTATTACAACAACATTTCTTATTCCAAACTTCAAAAAAATCTAAGAAAATCACCCATACGTCCTGGAGAGCTGAAATCTTTTCAGCACATCCACTGATATGTGACTAAAGTTTGCCTCACTGCAACCTATGGTCAACTCAGAAGTCAGTCAATCTATATTTTTCAGAATATGCTCAATCAATTAACATCTATAGCTCCACAAGTCTTTCTTCAAACGCTACCAAAATCAACACAGACATTCTCTAGATGGCCAATATCAATTGTGTCAAAGGGTTTTTAGATCGGTCAAACAGTGAGTCTGCAGTGATCTTCAATATCTTGCTGTAACTTGTACAGTATGCACAGCATTTTCTTTTTTGCTCAGTTTTAGATCAAGTGCAACCAAAATAATTGACAACACACCCAAAATCAGCAGAATGATGTGTGATTTTTTTCTGAATATTCTCACCAACTTCTTGACTGTTTTAAGCTTTTTAAGTTTAAACTGACAAAACTATCCGGCTCTGGCACATGTGACGTCATGACCTCTTGTGAGAAGGTCTGTAGAAACAGCCTCTCACCAGTAGCTCAGTCAGTAAGTCACCTACTCTGGAGATCTGCAGGTCCAGGGATCAAATTCCCAGGTGACCGAGTCAGACTTGCTGACAATGGGAGTTTTCAGATCATAATGAGTCTAAGTTCTCTATTTTATTTGGATCCTGTGACACTTTCTTCTTATATTTTTCTGCTTAAAAGTGTTTGTGCAGCTTAAAACTTTAAATCTTGGAAACAAAATGTCGCAGGTGGGTTGAACATTTCACCCAGTACAATATAAATGACACTGATCTCAAGGTGATGCCCCAATTATCTCAAAGTCCAAATCCTTTCATCACTTTAATCTCTCAAGTCGCCTGCATCTGTTCTTCTCCTCTAAAAATGTCAAATGTTGCGTTTATAAAATATGATGCTGTTTTATAAACTCAGTATCTATGTCTATATCTACAAATCAAACATAAAACTAAAACTTGGACACTGATAAAGACCAGTCATGGTATCCTAAAGAAAAGACTAACAATTTTGTCTGACATTAGTGGACAGACTCTTTATCTCAGGTGACTCTTAAAATAATGTTTTTAGGCATTTACTTCTATCTGTTTTTAATAACTTTACATCTTGCTGACTTTTTGAGGTTGAAAGTTAGACACAGACCCTTTTAGTGCGATTTTAAATCTTATAATATAAATAAAATACAGTAATAATAAAGTAAAAATAAATAACTGCAGTAAAATAAATGTCTGAGATGTCAGCGCAGCGACGTTACATCCTGCAGGCCGTCCACACCACATGTGCTCTATCCAGGACTGACCATCCAAACTACAACCAGGACGCCGTCCAACAATAACACTGCCGTCCTTGCTTTTCCTCACACAGACACATAAACACCACCCAGCGAAAAGTCACTCAGTGATTCAGGATCTGGACTCCAACCAGAGGAAATCTGGACTGTTGTCTGCTGGTGGCACAAATCCAACAAACCACACAGAGATTCAGCGTTTGTCGATTCATACAGCTTAAGATCAGCACTTTATTCCATAAAATCAAACAAAAAATGTTTTCTCTCAACAGTTTGGTGCTGATCTGAAACAGGAATTTCCCTCATCAGAAGGTTTTTAGACTCGACTATCATGTGGTGTCATATTGTGTATAGCGGTGCTGGGCTTTCCCCCTTATGGAGCTCTCGAGAGTTCGCAGTGCCTTTAATCAACTAGGATTTTAAACATTCTTCCAAATTGCTTTTTGCATTGAGGCGGCCTTCACACACCTTTGTTTAGCTCTGGCAGTGTAGTGTTAAGTGAAATGAACCCAAAGACTCATCATTTTCTCGATTTCTCGAAAAGTGTATATGCTACTAACTAACTAAGCATCGTGTGTCTCACAGCCTGATGGTTTTTCTTCCTCTGAGCCATGGAGCTCCATTATTGTCTGAAAACTATTAAAAACCCATCAGTGAGCCTCACTGCTGCACTGGGTGACATGTTCCTTCATCACCATGAACACACGCACTATAGTTTATTTTGACTCTGTCCCACATACACCGTCCTGCTGCCCCAAATACCACATGTGCCGTGTCCAAATGCACCATTTCCTCCTGTTTGAGTAACGTTTGATAAAAAGGTACGACAGCGGTGGAAAGAATATGTACTTAAGGACTGTAAGTTAAATACAAAGAATGGGGGGTTTAGTACTTTATGCCACTTTATACTTCTGCTCAGCTACATTACAGAGGGAAATAGTGTTCTTTTTACTGCAGTACATTACAAATTGAGATTTTACACACAAAACATATGAGCTTATAAAATATGATGGTACAGATCTAACTACCCAGCAGCATGTAAAGTACTTAAAGCTCCACCTCATTAAGCACAACAGTAAGATGCTGCTTACATATTAATGCATCATAATCTCATGATACATTTAACAGTATAAACAGTCACAGGCGCCTTATTTCTGCAGTTTTACTTTTGACACTTGACTAACAACATCATAACCAATAGAAGTGATGGACATAACTACGAAAGAAGCCCATGCTGTAGTAATGGGAATTATCCTTTAAATCCTGACTCTGCAGAGTGGAAACAGCCACTCGCTCTCAGATTCTTCTGCTGCTTCTGGAGGCGTTTTGGCTCCATGCAAACCCTGAAACTTACTCAATGGCTGCTTTCATAACTCTAACACCCCCCACATGGTCTCCCACTGTTATTCCTTTCATCCATCCTGCTTACCACTTCACCATCACTCTGGTTCTCTTTGTTTATTTTATTTCACTACCCTTTGTTTTCTCTCTGCATTTCCACCCATCCTTCCTCTCTCTTTTCATTTGCTGGTCATTTTTTCCCTCTTCTCATTGAGCATCCGACATACCAGAGATTCTCTGGCTCTCTGCGCTGGCAAAAAAAAACAAAACATGCAAAACTGTAAAAAATAAACTAGAACACATACAAGTATAACATAAATGTAAAATAATCAGAAAACGATGTGCGTTTTTATTTAATTCCTGGCTGACTGCTTTCTCTCTCTCTGTCTTTCTGTATGACAGGCTGTGAAAAGGCCGGATGAGAGCAGAGCGGAGAGAGAAGAGTTGAAGAGGCTGGAGAGACGGCCAAGAAGAAGAAAGAAGAAGATGAAGAAGGCAGTTTGGCTTCTAGCACTGGAAGTCACAAGGCGGGGGGGGGAAATTGGGACGGTCTGAGTTAGAAAAGCAGCCAGACTGCATGGAGGAGGATACACAAGGACAGGGTTTCTGTAGGTTCACCCAGTTAAATGTGAGCCTTTTTCAGACCTTTTTAATACCACACAGAACTTAATTTAATGCAGCCACGATGACGATCATGGCGACCTAAGGGTGAAATTATGGTGGAAAACCAGCAAGGACAATTTAACCTAGCATTATTTATTATTATATGAAATGTTTTCATTGCCTCCCAGCTTCCTATCAATATAATTAATCATAATTTACTGAGCGGTAGATAGCTAATGGGCGGATTAACTACGTGGCTTTATCCCCCAAGATAGCGACTTTTAAACTCAAATTCATCCTCAGCACTGCTCCACTGAATGTGGTTTATTTCTGTTTACCATTTTTATAATTGCTTTTATAATAATGTATATTGTCTGTACGTAGCAGAAAGAGTCACAAACTCAATTTCACTCTATAACCTGTTGCATTGTGACAAATAAATCCACCTTGTAAAACAATGACTCGAGTTTTTGCTTTAATCTTCCCTGGCCCATTACAAGATGATGAGCTTCCTAATTCCTGGAGCTGCAGTAGTTTCAGTGTTTTTTTAAAAAGAAATGATATCTCTGGATATAATAATATTGTAATGAGTCTTTTTCTGACTTACAGACTTTTTGCTGTATTGCATCTATTGTATTCCATTTTTTTGTAGTTTAAGTGTAAATCATAAAGCTGTTACTAAGCACAGGTGTCCTTCAGCTTACATTCTGGAGTCATACACTGTATCACAACAAAATTATAGTACAGCAGTGTGGTATTATTAGTACATCTATTCTCCGCTCTAATGAACTAAACTAAATGTTACCTGAAGGTGATATTGTGAGTGTGTGAAGGTGTCTTGTGTCCACCAACGTGGTACAAAGCTGCCAGTTTAACAATACACATCACAGAGAGAGGCAGAGAGAGTGTGGTGGAGGTGATTCATGGTTAATGATTATAAGAGTCATAAATGTCAGTGTTTAAACAACCCGATAAGACGAGTGGGAGAGTGGAGACACCCAGCAGCTGTTTGTGTGCAGCCAGGGAGGGACTGCCATGGATAAGGAATAACAATAATTAAATAAGCGGATAGAGGTGGGCGACACAGGCCTAAAACAATATTGTGATATTTCAGGGTATTTCTGAGATATTCCTTCTTTAAAATGGTGATATCACACAGGTCAAGATAGGATGACTTGCTGAGCTAAAGTCAGCCAAAGGTGACAGTCGCCTGTGACTCTCTATATAAATAATAAGTCGACCTCTGTCGCTCCTCTATCTGCTTGGTTGACTGACTGACTGACGCAGCAGCCTTGATGGGGATGATTGCTGTGGTCCGTTTCCTTGATAACTCAGAGTCAAGACTATCTTGATTTTTGTTCTATACAGACAGACTGACTGGCTCTCTTTAGAAAGTGTTGTTACTTGAATGACACACAACATGACTTAGATGGACTTAGGTAAGTTTTAAACCTTGAACATCTAATCTAATTTTCACACGTGCTTAGAGGGGTGAACAATAACCTTATTTAATGAATATCTGTAGGTCTTAGAAGGATAATCACTCAGATTTGTTTAATGTACTACGCCGTGTTCTCATTCTGTGCTGCTGTTGCCATTGTCTTCATGGCTGTGCCTCAATAAATATTACTGCTCCAGACATCCTGAGTTTCCTGAAACCTTCCTCTCACAATTTTATTTCGAGGGATTTTTGGCTCTCCTTGTAGTCAACGGGGAAATAAGTTTGTCGTCTTCTTGCATTCTTACATATTTCTGTAGTTTGTTGAGCTGGTAGCAACATTACTTTCATCTTCGGCCATGCTTGTTGTTGCGGTCATTACGTTTACAAGTCAAACAATATTGATTATCAACAACATCAATTCATTTGATCATATTAAAAAATGATACAGCTCTATAGTGAATAATATGATGTAGCACCTCCTAATAGCGGAAGATGGTATTTTGCTGTTGAAGCCTTAATTAATGATGTGATTCTTCTACAGATTTCTGTGTAAGTGTCATAACTGTAGATATTCAGCATGTAGAAATGTTCGCCCTATTCTGTACTGTCTGAAAGTGCACAAGCTGAGTTAAAACGGACAAGATTATAGGTTGAAACTCCACAAATTCAGTTTAAAATTTGGAGACTAAAAGACCAAGTCTAAGAAATACTTAATATACGTTTAATTACGTAAAAATAATATAAAACCATTTTTTTTAGACTGATTTGTAATGAGAAGGAGGTTTTGGGAGTTATGTAATGACGAGTAAAACAAATTCCCGCAGCAGGGAATCTTTTGCTAGTTTATTTAACTCAATTTATGTACATGTAAAATAAGCACATGGATTAATCTGCTTTTGAGAAAATGGAACTAGGAGCACATTCAATTTCTCTGTGCATTATTGCGACGGCATTTAATTCAGATTTGTGCCACGTTGCAAGTTTTACAGAAATGTTAGTACGATCTTGTTGTCATGAAGACGAAGAAAATGATTTGGCCTTACTCCAACATATTGCCAGCAAGGGATCCGACAGGGTCTTTTTCTAAAATGTTGAATTGTTCCTTTAAGTGTAGCCTGCTGTTCAGCTGTGATGCTTCAGCTCGTTTCAGCTCAGCTTCTCTTTCAGTTTGTAAAAATATCTCCGTTACGATCCTTCTGCAGACTGATCAACCTGCTTTGGACACTTCCCCCTTCTGCTCCTCTTTCAAAATAAAAGCCCTGACAGTGATGTCACCCACCAGTCTCTCTCCTGACAGGACCTCCAGCAGTTTGATGAGCATGCGTCCGTCCCTCAGGTCCATGTAGAGGTCGGTGATCCGACAGGAAACTCTGGACAGGTGTGAGTTCACCCACTTGGTGAAGGTCTTCTTCTGCACCGCCTCACGCTCATCTGGACAAGAGACACAGACAGAGAGAGAGAGAGAGAGAGATCAGTGTTCAGTGGAGAAGGAATCAAAGCTATTATACATTATATATTCATGACAACTGAGCTAAAACTCCATCCACTGAGGCAGAGCGTGAGAGGAAACTGAAGGCTCTGGGTCAAACTCTTGTTTCTAACAGTTTCTGACAGTTTGCACAGTCAGAGCAGCAGGTTTGAGTCCTGCTTATCTCTGCAGGTGTGTTAGGATGTGTACGTGTCCCCATAGGCTCATTGTTCCTGGAAAGCTGGTGTTTATTTGCGTGTGTGCGCTTGTGTATATGGGAGAGGTTTCCTGCGTCTGACAAAGCAGGCTAAATCTAAATCACTGCTGTAAATATTCATACACGCGCACGCACACACACACACACACGAACTGCAGTCAGACAGCAAACACCTGCTGTCTGAAACACAGCTTAGTTTATTTCCCACAGGCCTGACGGTGATTTTTTACTGCACTCTAACACACATACACACACAGAAGAGACACACTGTTGCAGAGACAGTGTGTATTTACAGTATACCAACCTGACACCAGGAAGGAGAAGAGGGTGTGACCATGGATGCATACTAAGATCTGAAAACCGGACCAGACCTATAGACGTGTACAGTCTATTGCCAGTGTTGTCATTTAGGTTGGAAGGCAGTAATGCAAAAAATGTCCATGACTTGCAAACATTTCCCCTCATTAGACAACTCAAGACAGCTGTATGATTGCAGAGATGGTTGTGTGTGAGTAAAACAAAAACACTGTGCAGATATATCACTACGTCCATTAAATTTGGGTTTAATTAGCGTAAACAACCACCTTTGGCTGACATGAAGCATCACTCTCTGTTTGCTTGCTGTATTATTTAGGGCCAAGTGGGATATAGCCGTCAGAAACTAAGTGCGGTTATTCTCACAAGACATGAACGCAGCATTAACGTAAATCTTACAATGTAATTTGCAAGAATAAATTGTACAAGTGAATGTTTTCAGTGTCTTTTCTTGCTCATCTTTCCAGCAAATGACGCCAAACTATACCCGGTGTCACCGTTCTTAGCCTTCGAGTTGTTGGTTCTGTGTTGTTACTTTAAACCACTAAACAAACAAAAACAGCCAAACATTATTACATTGTGACATCCACGCACAAGACGGACATTTCCTCGGAGTTACAAAAGGGTTTAGTGAGAGCGCATGAACCCAGTGCAGAAAATGAGACACGAATAATCTCTGACTTCTGGAAGGAAACTGGACTGACTGAGACATCCAAACACACACAGGTGATAAGACTCTGACTGTTTTATACTGTACATACAAACATTGATACAAATTCATGACCTTCAGAATCTGTTAGTTTGGAGCAGGACAATAGCTTCTGTGTTCACTGGCATTCAGAAGCTTTATCATTCAGCACAAACACACTGTGAAGGATTTCTGATATCAACCTGGAGCTGCTGGGAATTTGTGGACATGACGTCACTGCGATCTATCCACAGAAAAGAAGCCACATTGAAGTCTGAACGGAGCCGGAAAAGCTTGTTGCAGTTAGCAGTCTGCACTCCTTGACTTTACCTTCCTCCTACATGCTTATACAAATACACACATTTCCGCTTGCTGCAGTGATGGAATATCAACATAATCCTATAAAAATATTAGCTTGGCACAAATATGTATTTTTTCCCCCCTTGAAAATACATTTCAAAAACAGAAATGTCAATCTGTCAACATTGTTTAAAAAGGTGCAATCTTTACACAAAAATGACCATAATGTAGAGGAGCAGGAGCTTGTTTGTTTCTTTTTGATAATCGCCCTCATCAGTAAAAACCACAGCACTGATCGTTTGTTAAAACCATGTTTACATTTTTCTGACAAGTAACCTCTTGCAGATGTGTGAATAATGAGTGTTCTCTCTCTCTCAGAAGCAAAAGAGGAAGTGCAGTGAGTGTTCTGCTCTGTCGTTTAAATAAGCAGAATGTTTCGTTTCCACAGAACCACACATTTTAGATTTGTAGTTTCAGCACAAAGATAAGGAAAGATGTCAGACTCGACCCCAGTTTGTACTCTGCCTCGAATGATCTTGGAACTCTTGGACTGGGATGCTTCTTGGACTCTTAGTTGGTGTTGACTGCAGCGCTGGGTTTATTTGCCTAAATATGAATACACTTTAAAAAAAGGGGAACTTCACTGAGTTTACACGTCAAAGTGTTTCCAGGTGTTGGGGAGGACTAGTGCGTATGTGTCACTTGAGTCAGCCTCGGTCGGGACTGAAGACTACAAGTTTGAAAATGAAATTAATTTGTTGGTGTGGAGTTAGAAAGAAGGGAGCTTACAGATGCCCAAATCACTAAACCACCTCCACTTGCTGCTTTTGACTCTTCTCCAAGCTCCCTCCGGATGTCAGAGCTCTGAAATCTTTGCCTTCAAGCTCAGCGCTCTCTTCACCACCACAGTCCGGTACAGCGCCTGTATTACTGCCGACGGACTGATCTCTTTGTTTACACATGCATGAGTGTGAGTGTTCGTCCAAGGCCTGTCTGAGAAGCTATATGTTGTGATAAGCTTAGTCTCATCTCCATCTTCATGCTTCCTCCTGCATTTTCTCCATGCAGGAGTGCCATTTGGCCTCTGTGTGTGTGCGTGTGTTAGGGCTTCCCCTTCCTGTGCTGAAAAAGAAGCAGATGCTCGTCCCAGCAGGAAAACGTGTTAACACACACACACACACACACACACACACACACGCGCTGCTCGACTACACCCACGGAGCATGGGCTTGTAGACTGTATGTGTACTATATCAGTTCAATATTCAAAGACGCTGCTCTGTCAGAGCCAAATTGTCATGGATTGTGTACAGATTGGAGAAAGGCGTTTATAAATCTCGTCTGTGCGTCGTCTGAGGAAAAAAAAAACAAAAAAAACTAAACATTTTCACATAATCAAAAGGAAGAAAACACGTCAAAGTCATAAAATCATATTATTCAGTGGAGTGTCTCTCCTGATTGGCTGCCAACAGTGCCGTCTGCCAAATTGCAGATCACACGGCAGTAGAGCAAGTTCAAATCAAATTAGCTTTATTGGCATGAATGTATAACAATAATATTGCCAAGGCATCATATAAAGAACAATCAACCCCATACATTTCATTAAACAAGTAATTACAGTGTAAAGTAATTAAAGCGCATGTGTGTTTGTGTGTTAGAGAAATTAAAATATTACAAATTACAATAAATAAATGAAACAGTAACATGTGTGTTATTATAATAATATATTCAACATTAAAATAAATAGACTTTGGGAGTAGTTTATCTGTCTTTGCTAGTATTCAACAAGTGGAAGAAGCAGGGAGGAAACTGTGTTGCCCTCCATTTCCATCACAGCTAGTTTTATAGTTTAAAAAAAGTTTTATTGTTCAGGTCATTTTGAGACAAGACCCGGTTTTTAAAGATTATAGCCTTTCATGCAGGTATGACCCGCTGTTCTGTGCACAATGACGCAGCAAAAAATGTCAAATAATTTGACTGAATATTTGGACAATAAGTGTGTGTTATGTGCGTGTTGTTTCATGACAAAAACAACAAACCGAACGAAGGTTTGAAGTCTCATCATCATCTAAGGGACAACACTAATGTTTATAATTATAAAATAAAAAAAATAATATTAAACTGCAGCTGGGGATCCAAATTGTAGGTGAGCATTGGGCTAAATAAAGTGCTCTGACCTGCCAATGCTAAGACAGACACACACAGCTAAGCAGAACTCAATGTCAGTGGCTTCAATTACCTTTTCTGGCTTTACAGAACCAACTGCTGAATCCACAAGACACAGCAGAAAGAGAGAGAGCGTGTGTGTGTGTTTCATTAGAGCATGAGGAGACGGGGATGTATTGATGGAGTGTCTCTCTGTGGGAAACACACACACACACACACACACACACTTAAAGCAGAGGATGGCCTGAGGCCTGAGGAAACACAAGGGTGTGGCCTTGTTTGTTGCCATTGGGACAAGACAAAAAAAAAAAGAAAGAAAAAAAACCACACAAACAAAAAAAATAAGAGAGCAATCAATGTCTCCGCCCACTTTAAATGAGAACCTCACACACACAAAATAGAGAGAGGAATGTAGAGCCTGAACATCATGTGAGGTTCATCGTGTGAATGCATCACTCTGATAAATAACACTAAGACAGAGAATGATTGTAATGCATCATGGGAAGTCAAGGTTGTGATATGAAAAGAATTCATAACAGACTTCATAGAGTTTCAATAAACACACACACATTCAATTTAATGCACACAAAGACACATGAATATGAAATCCCTCTGACCACCACGGTTCCTGGGGGCAGATAAGGACATTTCAGCTTTTTACTGCTGGCAGCAGATAAACATTATATTTAGTTGGATATTTCAATTCACACACAAACAAAATCCCCTAAAAAGGAAAAATAATCCCCGTCTTCCTCCAGAGCTTTAAAAAGGAGGCGAAACGTGGGATAAAATAAAGGAAAGAAAAGACAAGTCAGAAAATAAAGCAAAAGGAGAGGAGCAGAAATGAAAGGAGAGCAAAAAGGAGAAAGGAACAAGAGGAAGATCGAAGAAAGAAAGAAAGAAGGATAAAGCAAGAAAGGAAAGTAAGAACACGATCCAGCGGCAGTTAGACTTTTCTGTCACTCCAGATAATAAAAGAAAAACATGTACACAACTGAGCCTTCAGGCAGCGCTTCTCCCCAGCTGCGTGCAAACCCAATCAGCTTCTTTCATTTATGGATTAGGCTATGGGCAGGGTCGAAGGTCAGCGTCAGGGTCGGGGGACACGGCCCGACCATCAGCAAACAGGAAGCGGGACTACACAGCCACCGGAGGAAAGTCTGCCTGACAGGTTCAACTCAGGGCAAAAACAAAACCTCTGAGGAACAGCACACTAAAACTGACATATTTTATCAAACACACACACACACACACACACATCAGTCCACAGCTGTGTTC